CCCCCCCATTTTTCGGCGAAGGCGTTTCGATTTTTTTAGATTTTTTTATTTAGACGGCACATGCATGAAGTTCACACTGTTCCTCCGCTTAGTTGATAATAACATGGAAGGAAAGAGGAAGCAGCCGGCAATCACGACCTTCTTTGTGAAGAAGCCCCGTCAAGAGCCCGAAGACTTTGACAAGGCCCGCAGTATTGAATCAGATCCTGGGCCACGACCCCAACCTGTAACGCTGCGCGAAAAACAAGAGCAAGCAGCGTTGGAATGGTGTTCGCTCAACAAAATTCCTGATAGAGCCGAAGAATGTTCCGCTGGAGACTTTGTTAGGCGGGATCCTGCTCACAGACCACCAAATTTATTTTTCGTTAAGCAACTGATTGCCGATCCGCAGCTACTGCGTGACGTTATACAATCCTACGTTCGCCTCGGTCCTTACCAACCGCAACTCAAGCAATATCCGGCCCGTGACATCGGTGGATGCATGCGTGCTTTTCGGGCCCAGTGGTTTGAAAAAAAATCATGGCTCAAATAGTCTCCTTCGACGGACGCGGTGTATTGCTTATGCTGCTACCTCAGCCGAGAAGTAATGACGCAGCAAAGCGAGCTCACAGTGTATGCACAACCTACAACGGGCTATAGGAACTGGAAAAAGGCCACTACAAAAGACGGATTTGCGAAACATGTTGGGACAAAAACCAGCTCGAAGCACCACTCAGCTCTGATCGATTTCGACAATCGGAGATCCTGTCAGAATGACGTTGGTGTGGCTCTGAATTCTCAAAAGATTGGTGAACGACAACAAAACCGGGAGCGCCTGACTTTTATTCTGGAGATCTGCCTTCTCCTAGCAAAACAGGAAATTGCATTTCGGGGCAGCGACGAAAAGCTATACGAGCGGTTTAATTTTTATGTAAGAAATGACATCACTGGACTAACGTTTTTTTTACAATGCACAGATACGTCACAAAATAAAGGCAATTTTCTTGAGATTGTTCAGTTCATGGCACAGCACGCGCCATCGTTTTCTCGCGCAATGTCCTTAGCTGGGGAAAACGCTGTGTACACATCGCCACAAATTCAACGTGAACTGATCAAATGTGCGGCTGATGGTGTTCGAAAGCATATTATGGAGGTCGAGATTGCAGATGGATATTTTTCTGTTCTGTTGGATGAAGCAAGCTGCATGGCGACACACCAAAGGCTACATACATTTAGGACCACCACGACGGGTGGTCCATAGAGACTTAGGATTCGTATTGGCTGAGAGCAGCATCTCTTAGCCAATGAGCGACATGCATAGCATTGGAATTCTGCCAACCAGCCGTTGGCAGATTCCTAACTTAGACTATTACATTTAGAGGAAGTCAGAAACATAAAACAAAAATATCAGTTCTCATCTTTTACCAAAACCCGCTACTTGGAGTCTTTATCTTGTTTAAAGTATACTCGTGGATCTCGAGTATACTTAACTCAAGTAAAAGAAACCTACGCTTCCTCATACACGTGCGCATACGTGTAAGCCGTAGTAGTGAGCCAAGGTAGGCCCAAAATCAACCAACTTCTACCGAGGGTCTTAGCAAAAAAAGGTGGAATTGCCACATTCGCGCGTTAAGAAAAGTCAAGATGCTTTGGGCCGCAATTACAAGTGTGTTAGAGCGTGTAGTGGTCGATGGTGTGAACTCCCACAAACGCGCTGAGGCGTCAGGAATTTTAGAGAAGATGTGGACTTTCGACTTCGTATTTCATATGGAGATTCTCACTGCAGTTTTGGGGAAAACAAATTGGCTGTCCCAATTTTTGCAGAAAGATGACGTCGATATCGTGTCAGCTGTGAATATGACGAAGCAGGTATCCAAAGAACTAAAAGAAATGCTCGATGATAGTTCTATGACTAGGAACTCGCCAAGTTTTGAATCGATTTGGAACTCATCGGTCAACTTTTGCAAATCAATACAAGTTGACGACACCCCTCTCATTCCTGACAAAAATGACGTGTGGAAACGACGCGTAATGAGAAGTCGGGGGTGTGGCAGGGCTGGAATTCCAGGAGTGGACTCCTCCAGGGATGGTGTCCAGCCTACACAAGAAGCTCACTATCGTGACGAAGTATACAACTGTATGCTTCGTGACCTGATTTCTGAAATGGATTCACGATTTAGTGGAGAAGTTCTTAGTCTCATGGAATTGTGCGGATCGCTCAGTCCACGTGATAATTTCAAGAATTGGAGCGCTACTAAAATTGTTGAGCTGGCTAAAACATTTTATCCCGATGATTTCACCGATGAGCTGGACGACCTTCGAGAAGAGGCCACTCGGTTTCGCAATTTGGCAACGATCGACAAAAGGTTCCAAAAATTGAAGACAACGCAACAACTATGCATCCAGCTCGTCGGGACCGATAACAACGAGCTGTTCCCGACCTTGCACCGAATTATTAACTTGGTGTGTGTGCTGCCTGTAACAACTGCTACTACGGAGAGGTCTTTCTCAGCCATGAAAAGAATTAAGACGCGGCTCAGAACAACAATGGGAGATCTTTGGATGTCAAACCTGATGGTTTTGGCTATCGAGCGTGATCTTACAAACAGCATCGACAAAGACTCGGTCCTCGAAAAGTTCAAAGCGATGACAAAAAGAAGAATCGAAATGTAGATTGTGGATTTTACTTTAAAAAAATCTATGCCCCCCCCCATTTTTTTAACGCTGGCTCCGCCTCTACTAGAATTCGCACAAAATGCAAGACACCGACGAGCGCCAGCGTTAGCGCGTAAAGTTCGTAGTGCTCGTTCCTCGCGGTCGGGGCCCAATTCTGCACGTAGTACACCATGACGGGGTTCGTGAGGTACCAGTAAACCCTTGCTGACCCTGCCAAGAAGGCCGCACAGAGGGCGTGGGTGCTGAAGATTCCGATCCACGCTATGCGAAACTTTACGGGCGACAGCGTCAGGCACAAACCGGGAGTGAAGACGCCTAGAAAGCTCGATAGCACGCTGTTAGATCTGGGCGCGCGGCGCGGGATGAGAGAAGGCGGCGGTCCAGCTAGCACTCGTCCCGAACGTGACGAGGTCAGCCTCAGTGACATCGTCTGTGAACGATTCGAGTCGCTCTCAGCAAGTGGAGTTAAGACTTTTTTATAATTAGGCCGGGTGCACGCCTTGGACGCTGTATACAGCCTTTCTAAGGTGAAGAAGCTTCAAGTAGAGCAGCTCAGAAGTCCTCGTATTTCCGTTCGTTCAAGTGGTAAGGGAAATGTATCGGATGCTGACATTGGAGAGAGAATTTATTCAGCACATTTTTGCTCAAAGACTGCGTCTGCTTAGCGAAAGTCCACGCGACAAATGGAGATGACTCGGACGCTCTTACAGCTCGAACTCTTCCTCGTGCACGTCGAAGTGGCGGACGCCAATGTCCGAGATGGCGCTCTCCATCGCGTGTTTGAGCGCCCCCGGGCCGGAGAAGAAGACGCCGACGGTCGAGTTCCCCGGCGCCCCGACGCCCGGGTGGGAGGCTGCAAACTGCTTGTGGCCGTTGTGCACCTTGCGCATGAGTTCGGCCATATTCGGACGCTGTCCGACCGCAACGCGGTAGTCCGTGACCAAGTCGCGGAACGTGTGGGCGTCGCTGGCGTAGGGCTGGATGCCCCCGGGGGTCATGAGGTGGCTGGACGCAGCGGTCGATTCCTTGTGCCTCTTGCTCTCAACGAACGCGAACGCGTAGACTCCCAGCATGGCCACGACGATCACCAGCGTGATCTCGACGAAGTTCTGCAGGGGCCACAGGTTGGCGTCGTCCGCCTGCACCTTGTTGCCGTACTTGACGACGATCCAGATGAGGAACGTGAGGAAGAAGACCACCGTGTACATGGTCAGCTTGCTGGTACGCGAGCGCAGAGGCTCAGCGAACGGATGAGGAACCTTGGACGAGACGGACGTGTCGTAGCGAACAGCAGACACATGGGGCTTGCCTGCGAGCCGGCCATGGTCAAGCTCCTGGTCGAGCTGGTCGTTCGTCGGGGCGCGCGTGAGGCTGAAGTGGAGGCTGAAGTACTGCTCCTGCGGGTCCAGCTCCTTGATCTGCATCAGCAGCGGGTGGATCTCTTCAAGCAGTGACAGTTCACGGAAGGTGAAGATGAAGTAGACCTTCTGACGGATCGAGGACCCTTGCTGCAGCTTGGCCACGACGTCTTCGAGGATGGAGAAGAGCGGGGTCACACCGATGCCACCGCCCACGAGACACACGGTCGAGTACTCGTCGTACATCTCGAGCGAGGCTCCGTAGTAGCCGTCCACGTAGATGGTCGGGAGGACGTTGTTGTGCTTGCAGTCCTCCGAGTACTTGACGAGTTCTTCCGTCCAGTCGCCAAGCGACTTCAGGAGGATCGTCAGCGTGTCGGGGCTGGTCCGTGGCGACGAGGAAATGGTGAACGCGTGCCACTGCAGCTTGGAGATGGCCGGTGCGTTGAGGTAGACGAACTGGCCGACCTTGTAATTCCCGGTCCGACTGGTAGAACGGGCCACCACCACCTTGACGACGTCGTGAGAGATGATCGTGAACTCTCGAACCGCTACGGGGGTGAACCCGTTGGAGCTGGAGAGTGCGCGGCAGATGACGTAAAGCATGACGGACGGGAAAATCCACGCCAGAATCGGGTTCCAGTGCAGCACGGCGAAGACGGTGCCGAGGATGAAGAGGTGGTGCACCGAGTAGAACGTGTTGTACATTTTGCGGCGCACCCAGGAGATGGAGGTGAAGCCGATGGCCAGGAAGGCCAGCAGTGCGATGAGGCCGAAGAAGTTCATCCACGGGTCCTTGCCCTCCGTGCCCACCTCGCAGTTGAAGCAGGGCAGAGCCTCCTTCACCCACGTGCCCTCCTTGATCCACGCCCAGTAGTATCCGAGGCAGTGGAGGAACGCCGTCACAACCGTGATGACCCCCACCCAGCGGTGATACTTGATCCCATTGGCGTACGAGATGTTGAGGAACTCCATCCACACGCAGTTCCGCGTCGCAGGAAGGAAAAGGAAGGCCATGTTGAAGACGCACACGAAGCCGAAGGTGAGCGCGACCATCTGCAGATACGCTGTGAAGTCCAAGTCGGGCATACGCGTCTTCATCCTCTCGACGCGGGCGCGGTAGAAGTACTGGAAGACGTAGATGTTGCCTCCCACGAGGAATCCGAGGAAGAGCAGCTCTCCAACACTCTTGTTCACCACGCGGCCCATGATTCTCGGCTTGAGGCGCAGGAAGCGGGCCAGGTTCAGCACGTAGGCCGATGAGATGCGACGCACGTTAAAGTGGCGAAGGAACTCCAGGAGAACGATGGACACGGCCATGGGGATGAAGCAGAAGAGGAAGAAGAACATGGGACGCACCATTTCTGAATGGCCGCCGGCCCCCTTGCCCCCACCGACGGGGACGCCGAACCACGTGCCAATGTTGGAGCCCACCGTGTCCGTGTACGCGTCCGAGAAGTAGAAGAGCTGGCCGTAGGCGTACACGAAGATGGAGGCCAAGATGACGACCTGGGCGAGGTTCCCGAGGAACGAGAACTGGTCGGCCCAAGGGGAGGGGCCAAAGGCACGACCGGCGCTAAGACTGCCGCGTTTGTCCTGCAGATTGTCTGCGGGGGTCTTGATGTGGGCGAACTCGACGTCCGGGTGCGGAGTCATCGTGTTGCTTGGCGCCATGGCGGGCTCGGGTCAGGAACTGAGGCTACCGGTGGCTGGCTGAGGTGAGCAGTCGAGAGGAAATTGGGGAATGAGCTGCCTGCTCGAGTATATCGTCGGCCAGAGCTCACCGGAGGAACGGACATTCGTAAAACAATGGTCAGTGCAGTGACTAGGAATCGCATCGGAGATATCGTCGTAGGGCTATCGCCAGCGTCGATTCACCGCAAATTAAAGGGGACTGGAGCACGCGCTCCCGGTGGCTTGCAACGCGGAGATCTGAAATCTCCACTTTATGTTTTCTATGGCGCCGAGCCTGAGCCGTTAGACGCGTACGAGCAAACGGCATATTGCTGAGCCGTCCAGTGTCGTTGAGCGTGCGCCCTTGGGCCAATGGCAAGTCGATCTCCAAACGGTTGCGGAAATTTCATGCAATTGTTGACTGCCAAATAATGCAGCGTATTTGGCCAGAAAATAGTATGACTTGCCGTCGAAAGACGCCGGCTAACTGATCCAAGTTGGCAGCCAGAAAATAACGGTGCCAGCAATGATGGTCAAGTACACTCTGGTGGTGAACGACCTGATGTTAGTGTATCAAACATGAATACATTAAACCGACAGTCCCTGCATTCTGTAGTACACGACGTACATTTGCTTCCTGCGCAATCGAATACATTACAACCTTCGCAATAGCTGCGTGTTAGCAGTACACTGTTGCGGGGGTTCAGGCAGATTGAGGGGCAGTAACGAGTCGGCGGTTGAGATCCGTGCGGTGCCAAACTGAACTTGAATTTTGGATCCGCTCAGAGCTTCAGCTTGAGCCATTGCACTCGCGCGCGTGCCCCGCCCCAATGAAAAGCTAGTCGCAAGGCCATTGCGATCTCCTCGCAAGATCGCCAGTAATTGTCAAGAAGAGAACACGAAGTAAGGCCAATAGGCAGACATGACTGCAAATATTATGAGTCTCGGTCGGTGCTGTTGGGGCGACCAACGCTGGGATGGATCCGTGGATCTTGTGTGCTGATGAAAAGTAATAAGTGTCGTACTTTGAGACGGGGAGGGTATCTGTTATTATGGGAAAACGTTTGTAGAAACGAGTTCTTCTAAAGATTGAGATGGAGTTGTCTTCCAAGCCAATCTTCTGTATCTCCGCCGGAACCACATCGAGCACGCGCCGCTTCTGGACTCACACTGACCTTTTCTTCGTTTCCAAGCCGCATACTAGAGTAAAGTGCCATGCAACTCTCAGCATGAGTCATTGGCTCGCGGCACACTGATGCTGAACCCTCAACTCTACTCAAACGCGCACGGTCTCAGCTAAAGTGATGCCTTTGCACGCCACAGAGATGAATCGACATTGCGCGGTCAGGCCGTGGAATCATGGCGTTTAATCTTAATTCTCACTTGCACCAACTTCGATTCGGATTCTCCTATGGATAAGAGGCTAAGCAACTTCTTTCCGGTTGATATGATGTAAATTCAAAATAAATGCACAGCTACACAGCTACTTCAAGTTCTACGTCACCTTACAGCTCGAACTCCTCCTCAAAGACGTCAAAGTGGCTGGCGCCAATGTCAGCGATTGCGTACTCGACCGCCAGCTTCATCTCCTCCGGGCCAGACACGAAGACCCCGATCGTTGAGTTGCCCGGAACAACAGCCGACGGGTCACTCGACGTGAGCTCCTTGTGGCCCTCGAGCGCCTTCTGCATGAGCTCGGGGATGTTAGGGCGCTGGCCCACCTGGACGTTGTACTCGGAGATGAGGTCCTGGAACGTCTGCACGTCCGTGTTGAGAGCGAGAGATACCGTCGTCTGGGGCGTCTCCGCCACGTCGTACGCGCGCCTCGAATCGCTCTTCTGCACGCGGGTCTTGCTCTCCAGCGCGATACTCACGAACACGGCCACAAAGGCCACGACCATGAGCAGCGAGATCTCCACGAGGTTCTGCAGGGGCCACAGATTCTCGTCCTCGGCCTGCACCTTGTTGCCGTACTTGACGAGCACCACGACGATGAGCGTCACCAGGAACGAGGCCGTGTACATGGCCACTCGACTGGTTCCGGAGCGGACGGACATAGCGAAAGGGGTCGGGACCTTGGCCGAGTCATAGCGAACCGCAGACGCGTGCGGCTTGCCCGCGAGACGGCCGTGGTCGATCGTCTTCTCCAGCTGCTCGGTCGTCGGCGCGCGCGTGAGGCTGAAGTGCAGGCTGAAGTACTGCTCCTGCGGGTCCAGCTCCTTGATCTTGACCAGCAGCGGGTGGATCTCCTCCAGCAGCGACAGCTCACGGAACGAGAAGATGAAGAAGACCTTCTGGCGGATGCTCTCGCCGTGGTGCAGCTTGGTCACGATGTCCTCAAGGATGGCGAACAAGGGCGTCACGCCGATGCCGCCGCCCACGAGACACACGGTCGAGTACTCGTCGTACATCTCGAGCGAGCCGCCGTAGTAGCCGTCCACGTAGATGGTCGGCAGCACGTTGTCCTTCTTGCAGTCCTCCGAGTACTGGACGAGCTCCTGGGTCCAGTCACCGAGTGACTTGAGCAGGATCGTCAGCGAGTCGGGGCTGGAGCGCGGCGACGACGCGATGGTGAAGGCGTGCCACTGCAGCTTGGAGATGGCCGGCACGTTGATGTAGACGAACTGGCCGACCTTGAAGTCGCCCGCGGGGGCGGTAGAACGCGCCACCACCACCTTGACCACGTCGTGCGACAACGTCGTGAACTCGCGGACAGAGACCGGGGAGAACCCGTTGGAGCTGGAGAGCGCACGGCAGATGACGTAAAGCATGACGGACGGGAAGATCCACGCGAGGATGGCGTTATAGTGCAGCACGGCGAAGATGGTGCCGACCAGGAAGAGGTGGTGTACGGAGTAGAACGTGTTGTACATTTTGCGGCGCACCCACGGGATGGACGTCAGGCCAATGGCCAGGAAGGCCAGCAGCGCGATCTCTCCGAAGAAGTTCATCCACGGGTCGTGGCCCTCCTTGCTGCCGACTTCGCAGTCGAAGCAGGGTAGGGCGTTCTCCCTCCACTCCCCCTGTCGGATCCACGACCAGTAGTACCCGATACAGTGGAACAGCGCCGTCAAGACGGTGATAACGCCCACCCAGCGGTGATACTTGATCCCATTGGCGTACGAGATGTTAAGGAACTCCATCCACACGCAGTTGCGCGTGGCCGGCAGGAAGAGGAAGGCCATGTTGTAGATGCAAGTGAAGCCCAGCGTGAGCGCAACCATCTCCAGGTACAGCTCGAAGTTGAACTCGCGGCCCCTCTTGTGCATCTTCTCCACGCGGCGGACGTAGTAGTTGTAGAACACGTAGACGTTGCCGCCAATGAGGAAGAGCAGGAACAGAAGCTCGCCAAAGCTGACCCGGGCCACCCACCCGAAGATGCGAGGCTTACGACGGAGCACTCGAGTCAAACTGAGGACTGACTGTGACGTGATCCGACGCACGTTGAAGTGCCTCAGCACCTCGAGAAACACCAGCGACGCTGCGATCGGCAGGAACGCAACAAGGAAGAAGTACGTGGGTCGCACCATTTCTGAGTGGCCGCCCGCACTCTTCTCCCCGCCGACAGGAACGCCGAACCACGTGCCGATAGTCGAGCTCAGATCCGTGTAGGTGTCCGAGAAGTAGAAGAGCTGGCCGTACGCGTAGGCGACGATGGCCGCCACCATCAGCACCTGCAGCAGGTTGCCGACAATGGGGACGCGGCTGGCCCATGGAGTAGCCAGCTGAGGCTCGCCCACGAGGCTGTTGCGCTTGTCATCGGGCGTCTTGAGCGATGAAAAGGCCGCGTCGACGCGAGGGGTGGCCGTTGGTTCCGCGTTGCTCGGTGCCATTGGGACTTGACTTGTTCAGTCGAAGGCAAGTTGCGGAATGACTCGGGTTTTGGCAGTCGCTGCCATTGTCGCTGTCAAATGGTGCAGACCTCGGGTGGTGGTGCGGCTCGCACCGTAGTGTAGAGGTCTCGACTCGACACTGTCGAGACGAACCAAGTGGCTGGAAAAGGCAGCGGACGAAAGGCGGATGCACGCAAAAGCTGGACCACCTGCTCACGTACGGAGGAAGGCACACGCCCTTGGGCCAATGGCAGCTCTTATTACACGTTAGGTTGTGCTTGCTGAGGGTTATTGTGTTGACGAGTGGAGCCGTCTCAAGAGCACAACGTCAAAGGGTGATCTTTGCTCGAACACGAATCGGAGTGACTTGCGTGGAGCGACGTTATCCCTCTGCACTCCAGTGGAGCTAGGATACACAACAACACAGCTAGGTACAGCGTAGAGAACCTACTTCTCAATGCATACTTGCGTGGGCGAAGGCTGCCTCTGGGCCAAGTTCTACGGCGTAAAGTTTTTACCATGAAAGGCGCCACTGCATTTACTGTACACTGTCAGCGCGGACGTGGCGGCGTTTGCCGCGCTGGATCTGCGACTGCGACGATGGCTTCCAGCTGCGCTGCGGGCCTCGAAACCGTGCTTTCGTGTCAAATCTTGACACCCGTATCGGCGACACAGCTCCGTACACCCGGCGGTCCTCGTGCCATCCGCCAATAGCGTCGCCACCGATCTTGCGTTGCTACTAGCAATGCTAGGCCTGTCAAAACGAGGCGGACTGGTCGGACTTGTCAACTACTTAAGTAGGCAGGCAATGCCCGGTTCTGCTGGTCCGTTCCAAGCGTGCCGAACCAGACAAAGGTCGGCGCGAAATCCCTGCCACTCCAGTGCTGTGTGTACATGTACGTCTTCACGTCAAACTGTCTACTGTGCACTCCAATGCCATCATTTTATCGACTCGATTCATGGTTAGTCCACAGCATTTGGCTCACACCAAAGTCATAGTTTGTTTCTAACACGACATACATTGGCATTAAGGTGCAGATTCACCAGCATTGCAATGGCGGCCATTGCTTCCCAGTGGTGCGGGCTTCACTGCCGACCAAATTACCTGAACTTCAGTCTGAAGTGTATCTTCGGCGGTACTCCGTAACCAGATGGTGCACAGACTGACAGACAGACATCACTTCACATGACGACGAGGCCTGGTCCTCGTCTCAACGCATGCCTCCCTCCCCGCCCTCCATTCATCTATGGGCTGCCACGAACGCTTCATGCGCACATGTACATGCATGTACTCGGCATTGGGTCTAACGTTTCCGCGGTGGTTGGCACAGTCAGCTTATCACATGCCTCCAATGCGGCGAGGAGATTGTTGAGGGATAGGATAGCCCCACCCACATCAATTTGGTGTTCGAAGACACCGCCGGAGCCAACCGTCTGCGCTCTGTCCGACGACGGGTGTTCACGATCCTGAATGTATCACGGAGCTGCCTATTGGCGAAAGCCACACGCCCCGGCGCCAAATCCGAGGCGATGCGGGCCGCGCAGAGACCGCGCAGAGACCGCGTTCTGCTCGCTGGATTAGATCGTCCGCGCCAATACCTTCTCAACGCTGTGGCTCGTGCCGCCGGAAGGCACGCGTCGCGTCTCGTTGAACGAGACGCGGCCCTCAACGAGACTCGTTGAGGGCCATGGCTTCCGGCGGGCAACGTTCGGTACCTTTGCGGCACTAAAGGCACGCAGCGCTCGCTTCACTGTAACTTCTGATCAATCGGTGATTCACTTCACTCATTGCCATTAATTAATTTGCTTAGCACTGCACTTTGTAGCTACTCGACTTCTAAGTTATAGGTAGTTTCTCTATCTAGCTAGCTCACGTTGAGCTTGGCGGTGAGGTCGAGGTGGCCGCCTTCGCTCGCGCGAGGCACCCAGAGCTTCAACGACCCACCGCCGGTACCCGGCAGACCCAGGAACCCAGGCCGCCAGCGATCAAGGTACAGCGTCCTGCCGCCCAGCGCCGTCACGTTGGATGTCCAAGTCACGGTCTTGCCCGCGGGGACGTCCTGCTCGTCGAACTTGTCGCCGCCCGAGATGATGTTGACCGTCACGTCCTTGGTGTCGGTGCTCACGAAGGTGATGCGGACGACGCCGTCGCCCCGGCGCTTCCAGGAGCTCGTGCTGCCCTTGAAGGCGGCGCCGACGATCCGCAGTCCAAGCGTGTTGTCGTCCGTGCCGTCGTCGATCTCGCCCACGAGCTGCGTGGGCCCGCAGATGATCTGGATGTACTCGGACAGCATGCCCGAGATACGCGTGAGGTCGATGTAGAAGAGCGTGGCGATCGTCATCAAGACCTTGTCGGCCACCACGCGTGTGTACTGCTTGGCCGTGAGCGACGTGCCGTTGTCGCTCTTGCCCTTGTCGATCAAGTCGTCCACGATCACGCCGTATGTCTTGCGCAGCGTGTCGCGCGTCTTGTAGGCCGTGGCTTCGTCCGACTCGAGGATCATTTGGTCCATGCAGTTGTTGGTGACCGTCGGGATGTCGTGCAGCATCAAGTCCGACTTGTACACGGCCACGCGCAGGTCGTCCGTGGAGATCTCCGGGTTCTCCTGCTTCATCTCGGCGATCGTGCGCCACGTGCGGTCCGTGAGCCGCTGCAGCTCGTAGCCGCACGTGGAATTGGACTCCATTCCGGTCTTGAGCGACGAGATCTCGGTCTCGTTCAAGTCGTTCACGGCGTACGTGAAGTTGGAGCCCGTGAGGAAGGCCTTGAACTTGCCCCAGGACTTGGTGATGTTGTCCTGGCGGGCCAGGATCTCGCCCAGCATCACCTGCACCGTGCCAATGAGCACACTGGCGGGGTCTAGCACCTCCCACGGGTAAGACTTGCCCATGCACATGACGATACTTACAGGCAGGTCGATGGTGATGTAGCTCGTCTGGTAGAGGGCCAGCAGGATCTTGTCCTCCGCCAGCTGCGGGTCCGACACCTTGAGCGCTCGGATGTAGTTGACGATAGCGCGGATCGTGCCGAACATGGCACGCGCGCACTTGATGCCGACGCGCACCGTCTTGGAGAGCTTGGCGAAGGATCCAAAGACACCCAGGATCTGCACCGAGAAGAAGGCGTTGGCCACACTCACGAACTTGGCGTAGATCTCGGAGCCGCAGTCGTCGTTCTGGCGGATGCACTGGAAGCCGCACTCGACGGGGAACGCCATGGGGCACTCGGCCCAGCACATCTTAGTGTTGTAGTCGTAACCGTACGGGCAGGTATCCATAATGTGCGCCTTGCGCCAGCACGCCTTGTCGGCCGCCGGGTCCGAGGGCTTGCCGATGCTCGGGCCCACCCAGTTGCGGTACGTGGACACGATCTTGTCCTTCGTGCCGGCGGTGGAGCCGATCTTGATGTTCGAAGGAACGGGGACCATGGCCAAGGACCCCCCGGAGGAGAATGAGTCATCTTCCCCCTCATCATCGTCGTCGTCTTCCGAGTCGAGGTCACTCGCGCTAACTGATCTTGACGAAGCAGCGGCCGCGGCGACATCGTCGTCCGAGTCATCGTCGAGCTCCTCCGACGGCGGCCTTACAGTGGCGACCACGGACGGCGTCCGCGTCGCGGGTGTGTACGTGCGAGTGACTACGACGGACGTCTTCGCCTCTGCTGTGGGGCTGGAGGTGGCGACAACCGCTGCCGTCACGAGCGCCAGCAGCCTCAACCATTTCGCCATCGTGTGAGGGGGAGGAGGCAGGCGGCGTTTGTTGCGCGCTGCGCAGAATGAAGAGTGAGTCTGCGTCATGCGCGACTGGAGCTGCTCGTCTCGGTGGTTGAGCCCCCTCGCCTGTCACTTGACGCCTCCAAGGGCGCGTGCCTTCCCTCCTCTCCTGATGAGCTCCCCTCCACATCCGATAGCGGCAGCATTGCACGCGTTGCAATGCAAGAAAAATAGTATCACGCACCTTGCTGGTATCTGGACGTGTACACGCTCGATATCAGGGAGTCGGTCTCGGGGCCTTCGTCCGGACGCAACGCGAGATCCTCGTGATGTGCTCGGGGCGGCTTTGTCGACCTGTTCAAGCCACTTTCCCTTGTCCAGGCGGATGGCTGGCCACCAGCGCGGTACATTTTACTACAATAACGCAGCAGATTAAAGCTCGCCCGGCTTTGAGACGCCAACAGCCGCTCGAACAGAAGGACACACGCCGGATCACTGCGCGATGGTCCATCGAGGTGTCCGCGGTTCGTGCCTCGGGCCAATGAGACTCGGTAAGCCTGCAGATGTCGCTAGCGCAAATTGTCGGCGAATGCGACGGACAGGCCGGCGGTCCAGGTCAAGCTACCGATACCCGCTAGCTGTGCATGAAGTTCGGCGACATCTTGGTCTTGCACCCGCGACTCGGTCCAGCGGCGCACGTGTTCGCGTGAACGCGATGTGACTGGCTTAGCATGCATGAAGAAAGCGCCGTCGGCTGCGCTGCTCGACCTCCTTATGCACGAGCAGACTTCGCACGACGAGCCAAATTTTGGAGGTCCTTGGTGATCGCATTGTCGACTTGGACGAGCTCTGCAGGGAAGGTGGGAGTCGCCGTCGGAGAGCTGGTTGATAGGCCACTGCGACACGGAGCGAGGCCACGGTAACGCTGCTCGCTGCTCGCTGCTTGCAGCCCGAGCTTTCGTACGGTGTCGTCGGCGTCATCGTAAGATCCGTGGTTTGTTAGATTTTTGGAGATCAATTGGGAGACTGAAAAATGGAAAATTATTTTGTGTTGCCTTTTCTTGAGTGTAAAAGGATGTGATTCTTAAGCTGCAGTCTCTTCTAACCAGTCATTTAACTGTTTCGTTGCCAGTGACAGAACCGTCACCAACTGAGTTTCGCCCGCCGCTGAGTCGTGGCACGTTTTCCGACGACGGGTTTAACAGGCATTTCATACAAATTTCAAGTATAAAGATTTGCACGCCGAAGGAGTCGGTTGGTGAGCGAGACCACTGCTCCGACGGCGCCGTTTGTGCATGGCTACCGCTACAGAGATCATAAATATACCGACGGGGGAGGTCCGATCTCACGTAGATGAAGGGATTGCTTCAAGCCGTTCGAACCACGACACTGTTAACAGCGTGGATTATATTTGTCCTTATAAAAAAATCTACTCTACCTACCCGACATAATATACTCATAGCTCATAAGATACATACATCGACGCTTGCTGTTTCTTACTAGTTATAAAATACAATCGAGTTTTATATTTCTTCAGTATCTTAGTAGAACAACGGATACAATACAGGCAACACGAAATTCTGGCTGCGTTTGTCAAAATCTTAGTTGTAGCTGCAGCTCTGCTACATTGAGAATATCGTAGTATGATATCTAGTGTATACATGTAATATTGGTAGTTAGTTCGACCTAACTCGATTCATATTGAAGATATTAACGCATACAGTGCAGTCCTCATTGGGGACCAAAAACAAAGCTGATCCAGAAAGGCAAATTCAACTTGCCGTTCTATTAGCCAATCAGAAGTGTCGAATCTTGGGCTCTACCAATCGGACCCCACTATTACACCACGTGTACCACAATAGCCTTCCATCGACAACAACTTCACAGCCAGCACGTGCCTCAAATTGAGGTGGTGTGTCTCCGTATTGAGGCCCTCAATACGGAGACACACCACTAACCAGCACGAGCCAGCGCGACCAGCCCCTAACGTTAGGCTGTGAAGTGAACAATCGCAACATCCTTTCTCCGTGGCTGTTTGCTGCAGTCACACAGTACAGTGTCCGATGCCTTCGGCGCTTGTTGTGACGGTGCCCGTACATGTACTTCAGCTCGAGTCAGGGGCGGATCTTCAGTCAAAATGGGGGGGGGGGTGCATGCCCCCCATTTTTTTTGAGATTTTGACCCGATTTAGCCGATTTCAGCCGTGTTTTGCTCTGGATTCTGACCATTTACCCCAGCCCCGCCCCGCCCCCCCCATATTTTTTTTCTGCCACCCCATTTTCCAAGGCCAAGATCCGCCCCAGGTACATGTAGTGGCGATGTAGTCGGTTATCTTGTACTTCGAAGTAGATGGCAAATGATGGAAAATGAAAGATTGACGCTTTTAGCACACTCAACCCGGCAGTATTTTTCTTGAAAGAATGATTCTCAGCGCGGTAATCTATATTTGTACGCTACATTATGGTCAGATAAACGCAAAATTTCGACATAGCTCGAATTAGCTATTTATCCCTGCTCAACTTGTTCCATCAGTTCTATCGATAAAACAAAGGTTCGCATACAAAGAATAAGTCAAAATGCCGACGAAGAAAACGTATACCGACTTTAGCGATATTTCGGATGAATGTTACTTGTACTTGACTAGGTGCTCCGTCAGCTCCCTCCACTTCCTCGACACTAGGACCATGCTTTGATGTCTGCTGCAGCGACGAGACGCAAAATAATGATATCGATATCTTCTCCCTCTCTTTTCGTCTCAATTATCGCCATGTTTTCCTCTGTAGCAACCAATCTTGACCCCCGCATGCAGCGGGGAGTGGGCTGCACGGCAGGAGGGAGTTCATTGAGCCTCTGCTGGCCACCCTAGACATCTCCGTTGAGTTGAGCCTCAAGAGGAAGAAACGCGACTGGTGTTGTGAGTTCGACTTCAAATGAGACTTTTGAACAAAGCTTAGAAATCTTGGTCTTCTTCACAGCCAACTGAGCCTATTGGTTAACCGCTTTCTTCTTTATTCTGGAAGGGTTCGCCTACTGAGCTGTGATCAACTCGTGTTGGATGTCGAGGTCTACCGAGCATGCGCGCAGTTGCCAAGAAGCTCACACACAAGCTGCACGAGGGTCAAGCTCGACGAAGAAGCGCGCTTTCCGTTCCGCGCTCTCGGCCAGCGTTTTCTTCATGATTTTGTCATTCTCACTTATCGGATCGGGTGGGACAACGTCGACGTGCCCATCTATTCCTACTGGAGCCGCGTGATGGAGCTACGAGGGTTGGCTTCTCATCGAACTTGCAACTTTTGCTCCAGTCTGTCAAATTCTGATCGCTGCGATCGACACCGCCGTGAAGATCGTCTCTTCGGACGAAGACAAAAGAGAAGAACTGGTAGCGACATGGCTTCAACAACTACAAGCCGAGCATGACCGCCAAATGGAAGATCCGACCCGATTTTCGATTGAAATTGGCGATGAAACTCAACAATTGAAGATACTGACGCGAATAAGGCACAGCGTGGACAGTTCCGGTGGTGTGTTGACTGCGCGTCGTTCTTTTAGCTCTGAAATGAATTTCATAAAGCACTATGGGAGGACACCAGTCAGCAGACGGAGAATACGCACAAGATGATGGTTTCCCAGTCTATCAACGCGCATTCGTACCAGTAAGATTCATCGAAAATTGCAGCTTTTCGCTTCGTTCATAACTCAAATTCTTCTTCGCGGATGTCAAAGTCCCCCGCACCAACTAAAACAGCAGCTCTAGCAGCAGCAGTCTTCAAGCTCTCTGGGCCTGACACTAACACACCAATGGGAGATCTACACCCGCCGCCTGCGCATCGCTGGCGATGTTCTGTATGTAGCCCCCGAAGATGCACCGCCAGATCTGGTCTCCCCCCAACCTCGACCTGGAGATCGCTCAGCAGGTCTCGGTATGTGCACACTCCGGCGTAGATCCTTTCTTGTCGAGTTTGCGGTAGAAGGTTCTCTTCGAGTCCCGCATTCTCCAAAGTGTACGGTGGCGTTAGTGATTTGGATTCCGCTTCAGCCCAGCGAGTCCACCGCAACACCGCTATCCCACCGTAAACGCAGATACCAGCAGCAAATAGCGCGAACGCCTTGACGAGAAGCTGTATCACCCACACGCTATCCTGCAGTCCGTCGATTAAAACACCGTTGCCAAACTGGAATGTCATCAAAAGTCCAACGACGACCCCAAAAATGACGAATTGAAGCATTGCAATGCCACCGGAGCCTAGAGACGCTCCAAACGGGCAGCCTTGCTTAGTAGAGAGATTAAACTCTCGATCTTGGTGTGGTTTGTACAGTGAGGGCGAATGTTCCGGCCACATATCTTTAGAGTAAAGTGACGCATCCAATTCTTCGGGTCGAGGTGTCGTTGTCAGCGCCAACTTCACGGAAATGTAGCGACCTTGAGGATCCAGGTCACGGATGCGCGCTAGGAGAGGGTGCATCTCTTTCAGGAGTTCTAGTTCTCGCACGACGAAGATGGCGGCAACACGTCGCGGGAATATCCTTCGACCTTGAATCTGACGAGTCTCTGCAGCAGCGCAGATATCCTCCAGTACGCCAAGCAACGGTGTGACACCGACTCCACCACCCACAAGAACTACACTTGTGTACGCGGAGTAGATTTGACCCAACGAGGCTCCGTAGTACCCATCCACATACACCTCAGGCTTGATGCCGTCGCGCTCACACTTTTGTTGGTATTCCATCAGCTTGTCCGTCCAGTCGCCCAGTGCCTTGACCACGAGCGTCATGCTGTTAGAAGACGATTGATCGTAGAACGACTTTCGCGGAGACGACGCGATGGTAAATGCATGCCATTCCAGCCGCGCGATGGCCGGCACGTTCACGTACACGAACTGGCCGACGTGGAACTGTCCTCGTTGCCCTGGAACACGCGCGATTACGAGCTTACAGAGTGTAGGAGAGAGCGCGGAGAACTGCACGACTTGGGCAGCAGTGGAGCTGTTGCAGTGCGAGAGCACGCGACTGATGAGATAGGCGACGAGTGCGGGGAGGAGGAACCACAGCGCCCTCGCCCAGTGTAATATCGTGAAGATCACTGCTACGAACAGGAGCTGATGAATATTGTAGAAGAGATTGAACATCTTCCGTCGCACCCAGGGGATCGACGTCACTCCGATCAACAGGAAACACAGCAGCGCGGCCTCGCCGAACACATTGACCCAGATCTTCCTCCCCTTCCGCTCACGCAGCGAACAGTCCCAACACGGCAGAGCCATTTGCTGCCACCTCCCGTCCTCCAGCCAGCAGTAGTAGTAACACGCACAGTGAACGATCCCGGTCAAAACAGCAGCGACGCCGAGCCATCGATGATACTTGATGCCGTTCGCGTACGACATGTTGATAGCCTCCATCCACGCGCTGTTGCGCGTAGCCGGCAGGAAGAGCAGTGCCATGTTGAACTCGCAGTTGAAGCCCAACGCGTTGCCGACCATCTTCACGTATTGAGAAGACCCTGACGGCGGAGAGGGCTGCGGGTGTGGCGGGTCTCCCGTGAATCGCGGCTTGTGGCCATGACGCTTGGTATACCCGTACCAGAAGACCAGCGCGTTGCCGCTTACGAGTACCGCAAGGAACAACAGTTCGCCGTAGCTGAGCCAGTTTGGCGACGGTCTGCGTCGTAGCAGCGTGGCCACGCACCAAACTCCGCGCTGCGTTTGCAGTCGACGCACCCACTGAACCAGCAGCACACACGTGAGCGTAGGACCCACCCCGACCAGCAGCAGATACGACGGGTCCACCATTTCCTCGTGGGACTCCCACCACGCCGCCACCTTGGCCTGGATGTATTCTCGGTAGAGCGGCGACACATACGCTGCTTGACCCGCAACGAAGAGCACGAAGCACAGAGACGCGAGCAACTTCAACGTCGAAGCAAGCGCCGATCTCCACAGACCAGCGTGGCGGTGCTTGTGGCTCAGCCTCGAACGAGGAGGAGACAGCGCCGGTTCCACCTCCGGCTCGTAGTCCGACGCCATCGTTGACTATCGGCGGAAAGCTCTGCACTGAGACCGGAGTCTCGGCCATATCGGAGCCCGAGTAAATCCCCTCCTGATAATGTTGACGCTGAGATGGCACGCGCGGGACGCGTGCCTCACGGCTCGACGACCCTTGATTGGCTCCGAACGTGCACTGCAACTCGTTCCTGTTGCCTGGCTTGGGCTTCATCTTCGAGTTTCTATGACTATTCAGCGCTCAATCTACTCGTGCCTAACGACCAAGGAGGGAAGGAGACAAGACCTCAAAGCGTGTGTCCATTTTTACCTGGAGCTGAGCCCGCGGGACGTCGTGAAGATAGCTCCCCGAAGACATTTGCTATGGTTGCGGAGGGACAAGGTGTACAACGTTGGAACGAAATACATGTATTCAAATGCAGTAGCTCCGCATCCTGGCTGTGCCCTTGGGAGCTATACCTAGCTCCCAAATGATCAAGAAGAAGCCTATAGACATGTATGTACAGACGTCGATGCTCTAGGAATTGGGCGGACAAAACGTGGACCTTGAAGTTGCCCGTATAGCGAGGAGCAAACATCTACGCCTTAAAAAGTTGACTCAGCTCTGCGGTACGAACCCTGCTGCTGAACATGACTTGAAGTGCAGGAATGACCCATGTAATTAATGACTCGAACCATCCTCTTGCCTGCTAAAAATAATTACAGAAATATCTATACTTAGTAAATACTAAGTGCAGCAAAGACCTAAAATTGTCAGCGCAAACACAGGATATTGTGCAAGACTGCAGGTTCTCAGCAATATGTATCCTCCACGCACCGTGGCCAATAAATCCACTTTACTTTACGCATTTGCTCGTAAGTGGGGACATACAAGAATACATGTAATGCAGCTGTATATTGTGGCTTTCATCCGTTTTGGCAAATCGGGTGGTCCAAGATCCGATATATCGGGCCCGATTTGCTGGAGGGCTCCGATTTAGCAGGAGGGGCTGAGGGAAGCAAACTATATCTGGCCCGATTTGCGTCTGGGGGCTGCGAGTTGCGAAGCAGGGGCCAGAAATGCCGCTTTTCGCCGGCAAAAGGGACCGCCGCGAAAACATGTCTGGGGCCCTCTCAGATCGAGGTTGTAGCGGCCGTAGATGATCACACAGGTGATTTAGCTGGCCATAGTGCTATGAAGTGTCTATGTACAGTGTACTATTGTCCCCAATGTCTTGCAGTTCTAATGCGTCATGAGAGGTGAGGAGGTATGGCCAGTGGCCATACCTCCTCACCTCACAAGCTGGCCAATGGCCAGCTTGGAATGCCTCCCCTCTGAGCCTTATGCTACTAACTCAGGCCAGATATAGCTAAATTGGACTAACCGATCATGTAGGAGCTCCATTTTATATAAATCGGACTCCGAGATAACAAGTCAAATCGGGCGGCAAAATATTTGAAAACCACAATACATGTAGCTACATGAATGACATGCTGTTGGAGTTGGAATTGTACATGACAGGTTTCTGCTCGCAGCACAAGCCAGGTGGCACTTTCGCTGGTCCTACATGTACTGTACACAGCCCGAAATTCTCATCCGTAGAGAAGTCACCAGTGATGCGCAAATTCACATATCAGCGCACTACTGTACACGTGTACTCCTCTGGCCCACTTAAGAAACAACATTTCTATTAAACCTCAACTTTTTCAGATCGCATTGGATTGGCTATAAATCGGACTTAAGCCATATGATTGGACATAAAGTTCGACTGGAAGGCAAATCGACGAAATCGATTAGTAAAACCTCAAAATATATACGAGCACCACAACGCCCACAGGAGCGCTATCATACTCTACAATGATTCTCCGCATCGGCAGTTAAGTGATCTTCCCAATGGTACCTATCATTTTGCATATCGCTAAAATTTGTAACCATTACGCAAAAATCCTAATGTTACCCAAATCTGGATTCAGAAAACTTGCTCTGTTTCCTTGAATCCTGCTGTTTTCAAGCAGCCAATGAGCTGACGCGAAAACACCAAATCTGACCTTTATTTTGAGGTATTGTTTACCCCCAAATGATAATTTCTGAATAGTTTTTGACGGCCAGATAGAAATGTTGTTTCTTAGGTGGGCCAGACGAGTACAGAACTGGAGGTGCTGCTACCGACATATATAAAGTACATCATTGGAGCTCTACCAAAACCCACACAATCTCGATATTTGCTACGGTCATAAACGTGGCGGATTTCTCGTAGCAAATCCGTCGTAATAATCACTCTCCAAATCTCCGGCTGGGAGACAGACGGCTCAAGAAACCCTTATAAACTACCCACGGCTTATACTTGGATTTTGTATAGGCGACACCTTGGCTGGCCAGCATGCAACATGCTCATGAGCCACCGGACACTGGGCCACCTAGCCCAGCCACGGGCTCGGCAAGACTGGCGTCTCAAGCCACGGCCATGCAAGTTGATGCCGAAGGCAGCGCGACTGACATGGACATCACGAGAACTAACTTTGCTGGCCCATCCCCTCGGACACTCCCAGCTACCACGGGGGCGTCAATGAAGACGACTGGACCAGTTGCAACCACCCCAATCTCGCTTGGCGGAGGATCCTGGCTGCAGCGTGTTCAGGCCGGGATAAGTGGGACGACTTGTCTGAGTGAAGAGGAGGCGCTGAAGTCGAAGATGCTGCATGGAGTATGGAAACCGGCTGAGCGGGCGCAACTACTAGCTACGCTGACGACCGACTGGACGAATATCATGACAATCCTTGGACGTCAGCCGTTCAAGACATGCGTAGTCTTGCACTTGCCCAGGCGACTGTGCGCGGTGACGAAAGTATTCGAACGTGGACGGAAGCTGAGGCGGCTACACTGCTTGCTTACACACGTGGAGAGTTGGACCTCCTGCACCCGCCGCACTTCATCAAGGAGATCATGATCAGCGAACACCGCGCGTTGCTGGAAGACTTTCACGAGCTACACCTCAACTTCTCGCTCACGGCGAATCTGCCACCTAGCGTTCGCCTTGCAAGGAATGCGCCGCACTTGGCAATTCTGCAAGAACTTTTTCACGCGAACACTGACGAGGCGGGTCGAGGACGATCCATGATGCATCGACTCATCGGTGATGTCAAGAGGTTTTCTTACGATGGAAATCACACTCTGAGATTTGTCTTTTACTCTAAGCGCCAAGCACTGCTTTGGATTAAAAAAAGCTTTTCGCTTCCAACGTGAAGTTATCACTTTGAGTGATACGAGTCGTCGCCCAGGGAATGAAGGTACCGGCAGCTACACGGCGGCACAGCTTCAGCTGCAATACGCGATTAGGATCTACGGCGCAACACAGCTTGGTCTTGCTACAGTCGCTAGAGCTATCGGACAAATCTCTGGAGCGAAGGTGTTGGATGTCGAGTATCCAAGGAGCATGAAGACTGATATCTATGACAATCGGTTTTACCATGTCATCTTTGCACAAGATCACTCTGGTCGACGTGACGCGGATTGACACGGATACAACAGCCTTGGTACCAAAACAACCTCAGACAGCCGTGCCCCAGATGCTACAGCCCTCGTCATGGAGTGAAAATATACAAGGTGCTCACATCAAAACTGGAGGCAGTTCAAGCGCGTTTTTCCCGTGTTTACCGAGGCAGCGTGACCCGTGTGTCACCTGTCAAACCGACTGCGTATCAAGTCGATAACGTCTCGGAACTCATGGCCCTTTTGACTTTGCAACGCGATGGGTTGGCCAGTAACCCTGGGGTCACGCTGGAGCAACCAGTGGGTATTTCTACCACTGCTGAATCGGGGACAGGGCGAACCACGGAACCTTCACCTACTGCCTCCACACCAGGTCCAACTGAGCCTACTGCACCCGGCGCAGACTTCTCGACTAAGCTGTCCAAAGCTGCTAAGCGGGCGAAAAAGAAGGCCGCGGCATCGGTGAGCAAGGACACAGTGCCAGATAGCGCCGTCGATACTCCTTCTCGTACGCCACGCCAAGCCGCAGCTAAGCAATAGACTGGCAAGCGCCGGGGGGCAGCAAAACCACAAAAGCGATTTGAAGCTTTTCAGCGCGAGGAAGCGATCGGGCTCTACGCTGTACTTACCGAGGAAGATAGTGATTTAGAAGACGATATGGATATTTCGGACAATGATGCAGATGGAGACGTTGACGAGGCATCGTATGCGTACCCGGAAGCTGCAAGGAAGAATTCGGACATCGACATGAATGTGCAGCATGAGTGTGCTGAGCCTAAATCTGAAACGGATGTGGTCACACAAGACCCCACGGCAGGCACCAGCCATTTCCAACCTGTCGTGGACGTTGGCGCTGATGCGCTGGCAGAACAAGCTGAGCGACGAAGGTAGGATGATCTGGAACGGGACTTGCGCGCAAAGCGACTAAGAAGTGAGGCTACATATCTTACGCCTACTGGCAGCGAGGGTCATGACGTGGTGGCAGCTGCACCCGTGCACGGCGACTTGGTGCAGAGTACTATGGACAGATTTGTTTCACCGTCGGTACATTCTGAACGGCCTGCACATGCTGCGTCAATGCCGGTTGACCAGCCGCCGAACACGCACATGCTTTCCAGCCCGACTAGCGATGAGGAATTTACTATGGGTGCTCCGCATGCAGGATCCGCCGACGGCGATCAGGATTTGCCAACGCAGCTTATGCACTGGCTTGCGAGCTTCAAGGGGCGGCCAGTTGAGGTCGCCGCTACTGGCCAGTGTGCTATGCTGGCGTTTCATGCCACGACAAGCAACTACGATGGAGCTAAGTTGCCACGGTCTGCTAAAGTAACACGGGGTGCAAACCAGATGAAACGTGTCGTCTACGCGATCATGATGGCCAATCTCCGTCGGGATGTCGAACTGGAGCTTGTGAACCCGATAACCGAGCTGCAGTGACTGTACCCTGATCGAAAGTCGGGGGGGTGGGGGTGGAATTGCGAGTGCCACGGCTAGTCTGTTCGCACATTACGCCCAAGAACGAGACCGATTAGTCACCACCGAGGTGCCAGGTAGCTTCTGGGCTGGTACACACGAGTTACGAGCTATGGCACAATACATGCATGAACCCCTCCTCGTTTTCGATGCGAAACAACACGGTGACGCACAAGTGCAGCGTTACATGTACACAGACTACCGACTCCCGGATGGCGCAGTGCACGAGTCAGGCTGTGTCGAATCTCTCACGGATCGGGTGGCCCGAGATTACTTGGAGGAATGCTGGCTGCTGCACAGTATGCCAACCATGATGATTTTACAGCGAGACGAAATGCATTTTTACGCTGTCCAGCACGGCGACCTTCTGACGCTGTGGAATGCGGAGGGAGACTCCGATTACGCGGATACGCTAGATCATTCCTATGCATGGTTGGCAGATGTTCAGCAGCGCAATGCTTTACCGGGGGACACTATACAGGAGTCAGAGGTGGTTTCACGACAGGCGCATATCAACGCATCAATCATTAGACAGATGCCAATGCGTTCTCGGCTGGACGTGGTGCTTGCTCGTCTCGGACTGCCATCTCTGAACGCAATGCCGATTGACGAGCGTCTACTCGAAGCAGAAATGGAGACCGAGGAACGGGTCATTCATGAGGCCTATGGTGTAGATGGATACGCCAGCGGATCTCAGCCATCCCAACCGGGATCCCAGGGGATGGATACACTCCCGCTACGTGAACCACGGATTGCCAAAGGCGCGATAGTCGAGGCCACTTACGCTCGGATAGTTGGTGCTGCTCCTGTCACAGACATTGACTTCTTTGTGCGGCTAATCGGGAAGCATTTGTTAAATGGTCCACACGACACCGTGATGAGCTCGGTGTTCCGCGGGTGGACTGAAAGAATACGACGGCGACCGCCATCAAGCCGTGGCTTCTGGAAAATTACATGGCACTTCGCCATATGTTTGCCTTCTTGCCGTATCCCGAGCTGGAAGCGAAACAATGGTCACTGCAGGACATACTGGCATGGGGAAGACGCGAAGCGTACCAGGAGCAGACTGCAGCTATCTCTCGTATTCTAGAAGACCCCACCCAGCCCCCCGAGGTCCGCGCCTTTTGCGATACTTGGCTGAAGGGGTGTCGCTCTCGGCCACTTACGGAGGCCTCTTACACTTTAGCGGGGTCAAGTAAGCAATGGCAGCGACTTCGGCAGTGGGTATCGATGGAGCAGTGCCGTGACAACTACGTCGAGCTTACGGATGACGTTTGGAATCTTTTACACGCGTTACCTTAGATGATTAGCACCTGGAGCACCACTCCTATGGGGCGAGTCCCGCATAGGGCACGACTGGTGTGGCATCACGAATATCGCTTTGTCGGGGCTATCTGTGACAGTATTCTTGCGGGTGGAGATTGGCAACTCGCGTTGGTGGCCCCTTCGGGGCGGGTCTGGGCAGACGGTGAAGCGGGTACGCCGCATCGCCAGAGCTGCTCACCATCGTACTAAGGACCTCGCGGCTCCGAATGCGTCCGCGCCGGCACTCTCGACGACGCGGAGGCCAGATTCTGCTGCTCGCACAACGCAGCAGACCATCAGTGAACACTTCTCTCCTATTACGCCACAAGACATGGGCAAGTGTAGGCGAAAAGCGTTCCAACGAGAGAAACGAAAACTAGCGAAGATCAGGAAGCGAGAGGGCCGCGCCAGCCTTGCCCGGAATGACGTAGAGAAGGCTATGCATACGGAAGATAGAACGTTTGCAATGCTCACACAAAACGTTCGGGGCTTCGGCGCCACGGCAGCGGCGCAGGGAAGTTGGCTTTCACCACTCGGGAGGAGGACGAAGCATGGATACCAAGATGTTGTGCTTATACAAGAAACACATGTTGAGACCGAGGAGATTGAACATTACCAGCGTGAGTATGCAGCGCGATGGGGACGCCGAACCGCCCAACCCTTTCGTTCTGGGGTGCAGCTGAGGAACGTCGCGGCGGTGTTGGAAATTTGATTAATCCTTATGGATCCTTCTCCGGCACACGTCCAATGTGGCAACATGCTTGGTCACCACATTTTGTTGCAGTAGCGGGCAAGTTGGATGATCAGGATGTAGTCGTGGCGAACATATATGCACCAATTGACCGCAGTGTGGAGTGGTAATACCACGAAAATTCTCTTCTACCAAAATGTATTAGAGACACCAACAACACGCTAACCCGCAAAGGTAAGCGCTTATTGGATCAAAACCTGAAGATCAGGAACGATCCCTTACACCGGGTCGGTTGCAAGCGCCTCTGTGCACCTTAGGTTATCTTCGGTCAACCCAAAAACCTGTACCGCTAGCCACGAGCTAAGGCTAGGATACTATGTAGCGCTTTCGCGCAACCCCACTGCAGTCCCTCAGGAAGGAAGGGTACCGGCGTGTTAGGCCTTATACAGGGGGACCAAGGTAAAACCTCGGTAGGTAGACTAATACACTCAGGGACACTCTAATCCCACAAATATATACTGAACGATACTCTAATACCGTTCCTGCCTCTCCGGCCACGCCAACTCTTGGCGCTGCCGAGGAAACTCTCGGTCAATGCACGATAAGCTCCCCGACAGGCATCCACACGCAGCCGAGCGTATCCAGGCACTACAATAAGCTAGCTACACTTACCGAAGTCGGACTTGACCCTAGTTGGCTTGGGGGGAAGACTGTCTTTTTGTTACTGAGTTTTCTGAGGCCCTGGGGGCCTCGTTCTGACCATCCTATGATGAGTCCTATGTCCCTTTACAACTATCTACTGTGAACAATCGCAATAAGGCGATTCCGGACACATCAAATGACGACCGCGGCTACACTAATAAGTGCGGCCGAAGTACGTAACTAAATGCATCTGTACCTAAAAGTGGGTACCATGAAGCCTCGTTCGGGGTTCTATTAGGACCCGACGACGCTTCGGCCACTGCCTGTCACTCTACCGAGGATAATGTCATCATCCAATCAGAAGCAGCCATCTCCGTCTCTCGCTTGACCTCGCCTAGATCGCCCCTTGATTGAACTTGATTGTCGGGCTGGCGGGTCAACAGCGTTGGAAACTGCCACTTTCCAATACCACAACTGCCCCCGCCTCGACGCGAGCCTCCCACGCTGGTTAGCGTCTAGGCGTCCTCAGTTCTTCGACTCCATGGCTCCTCATTCGCCGACGCGGCTGCCGCTGCTCTTTGGGCTCTCCAGTGCTCCGGACCGGTATTTTCGTCGCTCCCGCGGCTCCTCACTGGCATTCGGATCCTCGTTGTTGACTCCATCTCTTTCTTGATCATCTCAGGGAGCTGTTGATGTCGCCACCGACGCTTCGGGTCGTCGTCCGGCGCACCAGGCTCGTTCGGCGGGTGCCCCCGCCCCTATCGCCGCTGGTGCTGTGCCCCCAGCCCCGGCCGCGCCTGCAGGTGACCCTACGCTCATTCCTGCCGCCTCCGGGACCTCGGTCGACCCTCCACCGGCTCCTCCAAGTAGTCCTGAGTCTGCTGCTGGGGCGTCCGAGACTCCCTCGCCGGCAATTCCCAGTGAAGAGGCTCCCGACTCGCCGCCGACACTGCCGCCAAGCGCCAGCGCTCCACCGTCGCCAACTCCCGGAGCTGGTGCTGGCCCGGCCGAGGTTCCTCCGACAGCGGTCGTCTTGGGCGAGCAGCAGATGCTGGAACTCGCTCGTCTCGTCGTGGGTGTTGCCCGTTCACCTCCGGCTCGAGTCAACGCTGCTCTCGACCACAGCCTGCAAGCTGCTACTAACGTCGGTGAGGTGCTGGCTGCTGCCGTTGCTCCTCCGCGTCTCCCTCTTGCGGAGGCTGATGAACTGGTGGCCCTCCGCCGCGAGAACAACCGGCTGCAGGCAGAGCTCTCCGACGCCAAAGATAAACTCGCTGAAGAGATGAACCTGCGGACCAAGTCGGACTACTTCCTCGTCTCGGCCAACTCCGAGTGCGACCAAGCTCTGGACCTCGTCCAGGACATGCACGTCCAGCTCAGCAACGCCAGCGCTCAGTTGATGCAAGCAAACGCGGCCATCGGTCACCACGCTGACGTCACTCAGTCGTTGGAGAAGCGGACGCTCGTTGCTGAGGCCGATTCAGCCGCTGCTGTACGTCGGAACACCCAGCTCCACGAGCGTATAAGTGCAAGCCTCGTTACCTACAACACTCAGTTGGAAAGGCTTCGGAAGCAGTTGGCCGACCGCGACCGAGCAAACGTCATCCCCACACGCATTCAAGCGTTGACGGACGAGAACAACAGCTTACGGCGAGCGAATTCTATCCTTCGTCGGCAATCGGCAGCACACGGACTCGACGTCGACACCTTGATCCTGGCCTCAGCCGGCATCTCCGCCGCAGAGATTGATTGGAATCTTCTCGGGCTGTCCCCACCGACCGACGGTCACTGTCGAGAGTCCACACCATGACGAATCCTCGTCAGAGGAGGGAGAGGAGTTCAAGACGACCGACGTGCCGATGGCTGAGTCCACCGAGGCTACGTCCGCTCCCGCTGCTTCGGTGGGCGCTTCTGCTGGTTCCCCGGTCTCCACTGAGTCGTCATCGCGCAAGCGGGGTCGGCAAACCGAGTCTGCTTCCGTCGGGAATACGGCATCCCAGCCTCCTCCTCACAAACGCTTCGGCAGACCGTCAGTCGACCTGAGGGCCAGGGCTGCAGCGGCCGCCGCGCCATCTAGTCCTCGTTCGGCATCAGGAGAGATTTCCCCGCATCCTCGGTCGATGGCGCGTCCAACGACGGCTCGCTCAAGCTGGTTGGAGTCTCAGCCTCTCCCGTACGAACACTCAGACGTCCCCTTGTATCCTCGGCTGGCCCGTCGCGCCTCGCCTCCCTCGCCAGCCCCAGCCCAGCAGCAGGAATCGTCTGACGTGGAGTTTGGAGGGGGTATGAGTCCTAGCGACACTTCACAAGATGATCTTGAGCCCGGCGAGATTCCGGGGGTGTCGGCCAGCGCTCAAGGTGTTCAAGGTTCTGCTACCGAGCCTTCCGGTACTGTCATCGAGGTTCCATCCGAGGTTCCACCTTCGGCGGCGACTTCCATTCCTTCGCCAGTCTCGTCTGGTACAGCCGGCGTCGGCCGTGCCCCTCGAGAATCGGCTGCTGGGGTCACCGAGGGCTCTGGCGGTCCGCCAGACCGTTCACCTAGCGGTGAGTCGCCTCCTGAGTCCGAGACTTCCGAGGACCGCGCAGCGTTGTTCCTGGAGATGTTCGGCCCCGACGAAAGAGAGGAAACCTCGGTGGCGCAACCTGTCGCTCCTTTGGAGGCTCCTTCTCCTCTGGCTGCCGCGACCGGGGTTCCTGTAGCTTCACAAGCGGCCACCGTGCCACTCCCGAGTCGACTCCACACTCGGTCGGCCTCTGTTCACGCTCGGGCGATGGTAACAGCAACGGTGACAGCTTCATCGAGGGCTGGACCTGCGTCGATTGCCCCAGCAGTGGTTGACGCTTCCGACGTAGCTCCTAAGCTCAGTGGTCTTGCTACCCTGTTCTTGGAGCCGGGTTTCACGGCACCCGGAGCGTCGGAATGCTGGCATCTCATCCAAAACGCCAGTGTCCCCCTCGTCTTCGAGGACGGCTTGGTCGCCCCCAGTTCAGTGGATGGAATCGTGGAGTTTGGCTTGTGGACGGATCCTGCTCACCCCTTCCAAGTGTTGCGCCAGCTTTTCCCAGACGAGCCTTGTTTGATCGATACGACGGGTTTTCCATCCTCGGTGGCTATATCCCGTCGTGCAACTGGTCGGGCTCTTCTCGTTCGCCTATGGCGGCAGTTCCAGGGGTACTCCTACCACTCCACCGAGAGGGGCGACCTTGGTTTCGCCTTGTGGGAGCGTCGCCACTGGATTAGGGGTAAAGCTGTCAAGGCGTATATCGACAACCTCGCCAACACCCTCGGTCAGCGCAACGTGCAAGTCCTAGCGCTTCGACAAGCGTGGTCCAAGTACCACCGAGAGCGCAGTTATCGTGCAGATCGCTTGCGAGACCCGATGCTCCACAAGGTGTGGAATGGGGCCATTACGTACGGCGGACAACCTCCACAGCACCGCACCGAGGTTTTGCTGGAGCCGTCGTACCTGCAATACTCGTTCGAGGTGATGGAGTGGGTCCCCACTTCCGACGACTGGGCCTCCGAGGTGGCGGACGTGGATGCCCGCGAGCCGTGGCGTAACTGTTGGTTCCAAGCGCTGGCAGACCACCCCTACAACACTCCTTTCGCCCCTTGCAACGACGTCCCGTTGTTTGTCCCCAACGGATCGACTCGGGAAACCGTGGCGTCGTCGGTCGTGGTCGAATCTTCTCTGCGGACTTCGATGGTGGTCGCTCCATGGGTGACCGAGTTCGCAAACGCTCGTCGTTCTCGCTCTCCAAGCCCCGATGAGGAGACGAAGGAGTCGGGTGAAACTTCTTCCGCCGCCGGGTCAAGTCTGGGCGTGTTGGCTCAGGCTGTGATGGAGATTTAGCCTCGTTAGGCCCCGCTCCAGCTTCACCGTTTCGTTCACGTTCTTTTCCAATGTCGACCGAGGTCCGTGGCGCTTTAGGCGACGCTGCATGTGCTATCCCAATCCAAAATAACGTCATGTTGTTCGTTCCATTTCATAATCTTTTCTCGCATCAACGCACATCGCATTCAATACTCGGTCGCGGTTCCCAGAGCTTCTTCTCTGCCCTCGACCGCTGTGGCTGCCTCAAACGAGGCTTGGTTCGTAGCTGCGGCAGCCGGGCTTCGTTTTGTCTCCCTGCAAGAAGATCGGGCTTATGCTCGTTGAAGACCGGACTTGATTCGCGGGAGACTGGGCGTACTTACGCTAGCTCCGTTGCGGGTATGTTTTCGCATGACAGCCCAATTTTGACAATTGTACACCCGGTCTGCTGCGGGTATCCGGTGTCGACAGCTTGCATACCCATTTCATCATCAACTCCATACTCAACCACGAAGTCGAGCGACCTTGTTCGTGCTACTTCCATGGCAATCACTGCGTCCGAAGCCTCTGTCGCCCTCCCATTTGCTTCATCATCACTTGTTTCGTCTGTTGAGGGTTTGACCGAGGCTTGCTTGCGTCTTCCGTTGTCCCTGGCTCCATTTCGATATCTCCATTCCATCGTGACTCGTTCACTTAACACGTAACATGCAGATTCCAGTAACTTTCTTCGCCTGTCACTGCGAGCTGGATAGCCCTCGCAGGCGGTTCAATCATCATCTCCAGTAGCCTCGTTCGTCTGACATCGCGGGCTGGATTGCCCCCGCGAGCAGTTCAATCCTCGTTGGGGCGCAGAATTACTCCTCGTCGGCCACCTGGACCATTTGCAAACGTCGGTCGCTTCGCTTCCGGCCTAGGTAATCGTACAGGAGGCCGCCGCACGAGAGATTGGACGCTGGTTCCCATGTCGGCTCGTCATAGCCGACCCACTTCACCTTGAACTCTCGGACGGCCCGGTGAGTGCTCGTTGACAACGGTGTCCGGTCATCGAGGATAGCCTCGACTTCATACTCACCGTCCAGGCGGTCCGGCTCAAAACTGTCTTCAGGCAGTAATTCCTCGTCGAAGTCAAGACGAGTGCCTTCGGTGACCTCACGAGCCAAACGAACCCTCGGTCGGCCTTCGAACTCGTCCACTGACTTGAGTCGTGAAACATGCACCACCGGGTAGAACCGGTATCCACTTCGGTCGGGTAATTCCAACTCATACGCAAATTCGTCGACCTTCTTCTTCACGCGGAACGGTCCGTGCCACCGATAGGCTAGTTTCTTGGTCAGTCCTGGTCGAACCCGCTCCATGTACAGCCACACTCTGCTCCCGGGCTGCAAAGAAAACCTCGTTCTCGTCACTGCAGCTCTACTATGGTCACGGGAACTCGGTGCCCGGTCGACCGAGGTTCTTTTCTCGTTGACGCCTGCCACGGCTTCCTTCTCCTTCCTGCCAAGCGACGCATTGTACTCTTCAGCTCTCCGAGCCTTTTCCGCGGCTTGGTACTCCTTGGCCATCCTCAGGGCGATTTCCTGCTCTCGGTTGACCTCTCGGCGCCATGCTAGCGCGTCAGTTTGGCCACCGAAGCCTCGTTTAAGTGACGAGGACTGTGCATCCCACCCATGAACGAGGTAAAACGGAGTTTCCTTCCTCGTCGTATCACGGGAGCTATTGATGGCGAAGATCAGTCTTTCGGTGATCTCGTCCCAATCCTGCTGTAGTGGGTCTTCAGCGTATACGCGGACTGACTGCATGATCGTCTTCACCGATCTCTCCTACTGGCCGTTGGCCTGCGGGTGGTAGCTCAGGGTCGCTCTCGACCGAGACTGCATCATTTCCGCGAAGGCTTGGAAGACCTCGCTCATAAATCGAGGATCTCGGTCATGACGGATCAAGGACGGTGCTCCAAAACGTCGGTAGACACACTCCTCGAAAGCTTGCGCAACGAGTAAGGCGGTAGTGTCAGACATGGCTTTGCCCATCACGAATCCCGTGAACGAGCATTGGAATAGCAGGAGAGCCTTGTTGCCACGGCGACTCTTCGGTAGCGGTATCACGAAGTCCATAGAGACTAGTTGGAAGGGTCTCTCGGCTAGGATGTTCCCTGGCGAGTACCCGCGGAACTGAGGTCGGCTCTTACTTGAACTGCAGTCAGAGTACGACTTAACGTGTTTCTTCACATCGGCATACTGGCCGATCCAGTAATAGTCTCTCGCCGCTCGATGTAGCGTACGGGTAATACCTTGATGACCGCCTTCAAGTGAGTCATGACAGCTTTGCAAGACGTCTTGGATCATCGTTGTGGGCACCACGAGTCTCATCTTCAACTCGGCTTGCTCGCCGTCACTTGAACGACGGCTCGTTCTTGTGTAATATAGCACATCGTCCTCGCTCAACACAAATTGGTCCGCCATTTTCCATGCATCTCGTGCTGCTCTGTATCCAATCTTCGCATCATCTCCCCGGAGCACTGCCTTCAGATTCGACCACCGTAACTCTTCATCTTGAGCGGAGGCGATTCTCCTTCGGCGTTCTTCCTGTACTACCAGCGGGTCAATGTCTTCTGCGTTTGGTGGGGCTGGTGACGTCTCGGCACGCAGCGGTGAAGCTTCTGCTTCATTCTGAGACTCGTTCGGCACACCATTGGCTTCTACTCGGTGAGATGCGTCTCCCTGATCGGTGACCGAGACTTCATATCCAAACCGGACGTGTTTCTCCTTTGCTCTCGTTTGACGTCTGGTCATCACAGCTACGTGTCCGGGTTCAGTCTCGTTCTGCCGTCTGCGGTCGGTTTCTCTTCGCACAAAATCAAAAAAAATGCTTGCTACGAGGTTTGGCAGAAGCTACCACGGCCCATACTGTGTTGGCCGAGGGTATGTCCTCGACGACGCAACCGTCAGCAGCGTCGTAGATGACTTCAGCGATACGGTTCAGCTTCATCAACTCTAATACTCGGTCGTCCGACGATACCACCGTAGACTCCTTGCACTCGAGAGTCTCGCTTGCCAGTCCGCCGCAGCGTTGAACTCTCTCACCACATGCAGGTACTTCACCGACCGAAGCTTGGCCGTGAGTTCTTGGTGGCGGCTGAGTTGTTGCAGCAATGACTCCTTCCGACAGGCTATCACCCCTAGGGCTTGCTGGATCGCGATCCTCAAGTCGCCAACGACAACTAGATCGTCGGCTCCATGCTGTAATGCATCAGCGACGCCGTTGTTCATCCCGGTGTACTCAGCGAGGTTGACCGTGGTGTTCTCGAGGTAAGCGCTCGCAGCGAGCACTACTGTCCACTCTGGTAGCTTCCATAGTATCCACGAGCAACTGCCGTATCCACCGTTCTTCTCGGTTTTCGCAGACCCGTCAAACGACATAACGAAGCCTCGGTAGGACCGCGGTAGGCGTGCGTAGAGCAGATGCGAGTCCAAACGAGCAGTTGGTGACCGGGTGTGACCAACGCCAGTGACTTATCCAAGTCAACGAAGTTCGTCAAGCCGGCTTGAAGTAGCTGAGCAAACGAACAGTGGGTTTCTTTGACTCGTTCGACCAACAGGTGCCACGGCGACAGCAAGACGGCGAACTGGGTAGCCCGACCGAACAATGTCTTGGACTTGTGGAGTCGAAAACCGAGTGTAGACCCGGATTCGTTGTCCAACGAGTTGAGTATAATACACCTTCAGTATCAGCAGAAGCGCGAGGACCTCTTTCTCGGCCGGGTGATAATTCATCTCAGCATCCCTCAAAACACGTCCGCAGAAGCGAACGGGGTGTAGTTTGCCCTCGTGCTCTTGCATCAACGTGGAACTTAGAGCCCACTCGTTGGCGAACAACATGACATGCACCTCCTTCTTCCGGTCGAAGTGTCGTAGTATCGGTGCTGCCGAAACCTTCTGTTGGAGCATCGCGAAGCTGTGCTTGGCCGCGGTGAGGTCACCCCCGGGCTGGAAGTCCTCGTCCTTAAGCTGGTACAGCGCTGCTCCATAGACCGCGAAGTCTTGGATGAAGCGACTGTAATAGTTGAGTGCCCCAAGGAAGGACTGCATTCCTTTCTTCGTTGACGGGAACGGAAGCTCGGCCACCCCAGCCAGCTTCTTAGCGTCCGGTCGGATACCTTCTGCCGAGACTTCGTGGGACAGGAAGTCTACCTTGGACTGCACAAAGACGCTCTTCGTGAAGCTGATACTAATACGGCACTCTTCAAACCGTGCCAGCAATCGGTCTAGCGTCGCCAAGCACGACTCGAAAGTCTCGGCACCGAAACAGATATCATCCACGAATGACCGGCGACTGAATACTGGTGTCAACGAGGAGTCATCGGGCTCCCTGTTGGCGAACATGTCGGCGATAGGGCTGTTGACCGGTTCGGCTACAGCTCCCTTACCAAGCGAGTTGTCGCGGTCGGCCTTGAACTTTGTCCGGAATGGCTTTGCCGTGCCAGTCGAAGCCTCGTTCACCCCAGCATGAGCTTCCTTGTCATGTTCTTCAGCTAGACGCATGCGCCCCGAGAATTTAAACCATCCTCCCGTCGGTTGGACAAAGCCCCAAAGCGCGTTGTCAATCATGCGTTGATAGATCATCGGTGCGTTCTTCAGGCCGAAAGGCATACGCAATCATTCGAAGTGCCCCAGTACGCAGACGACAGTAGAGATCTTCCGAGTTCGTTCGGTCATCATAATGGCCCAGAAGCCGCTAGCGGCGTCAAGCGAGCAAAACCACAAGTACGCCTCCATGTCCGTCAGCAAGTCATCCACCAGGGGCATGGCGTACTCCATAATCTCGTTGATCGCATTAACGAGTTTGTAGTCGATACACAGGCGGATATCCACCCCATTCTTCTTCAGGACGATGACGATTGCCGACGCTCATGGGCTGTCCGAGAAGGAGATAAGCCCGGCCTTCAACAGACCCTTCAGCCATTCGTACAGCTTACCGAGGAAGCGAAGCGGGGTCCGCCGAGCCTTCTGCTTGATTGGCGCGTGCCCCTGTACATTGATATCACACACGACCCCGTAGGCTGGAGGCGGTAGGACGTTACCGCTCGCAATCATGATCTTCTCGTGGCTCTTCAGCACATCGACCAGGACCGTCTGCTGCTTCACGCTGAGTTCGTCACTCTGGACGTTTTGCCCCGAGTAGTCCAGCGTCGTCTCCGATGCTTCGGTTAGGTCCGGCAAGAATGCCAGATCTTGCGCGTAGTCGGTAAGCTCAATCTCGTTCGCGACGTGCTCCGAAACGTCGTTCACGGTGTCATCACCTTCGCCAGACCCTTCTGCAGCCATGGCATGCATGACCGAGATATAGGTCGCCTGCAGTAGCTGCTCGGGGTCGTCGATCGCACTTAGATCCGAATCATGGAATTCAGTGTCGGCGTCAGCGGTGGAGGTTCCGGCTTCAGCAGGAACGTCGTTAGGCCCTGGGTCGTGTTCACCCCAGTCGACTTCGCTACTACACACCGCAACCGACGTTTCCTCTGGCTCCAGGCTGGACGCAGCGGTCCCTGTTGGCAGGATATCCCATGTAGTTGTCTCGGCCACTGCTACCACGTCGCGGTCATTCTCCGAACCGTCGTTCGTCACGCTGTCACGATCACTCAGCTCATCACTGATTTCCGATGCCTCAACCGAGGCGTATGTCGCTCCCTGGCCGGTGGAGTCAGCACCACTATTCGGATTCACGGGCTGGCAACCCGCTCGACTAGGCGGCGAGTCTCCGGGTACGTCCGAGTCATACGACGCGCTGGCCTTGTCGTCCGAACCATCGTTCGACCCACCAGCACGATCCACATCGGTTGTATCAGCTCAAGCGACATCGACCGAGCCTTCACTGACCCTGGGGTCGTCGTCGTAGCCATGTACATCGGGTGACGAGTACTCATCAAACAACGGAGCTTTTTGACGGCCTTCTGGCCATGGCGGTGCATCCGGTGGCCTCGGCAGGATCTTTCGCGGCGTTGGGTAAGTTCGGCGCTCGACCGCAGGCGGCTGATCAGCCAACCATTGCTCGTAGAGACGACGTTCTCGTCCTTGCAGAGTCTCATCACGACTCGTTGAATAGGCCAACACCTGCCACTCTTTGTACTTGTTAGAGTCCAACCTCGCGTAGCCGGTCTCTCGCGGTAGTTCACCATGCGGTACCCACAGCACTACGGAGTCATGCTTGGCGCACTGTGCCGCTGTGGTCGTAATATTGGTGAGCCGTATCCACGTCGGCTGCCCCCGTCGAAACCTCGTTACGGTCGGCACGAGCTTGCCCGTGCGTCGTACCCACACATCGTACTCCGAACGAGGTAGCCGCTGGCGCGGCAGTCGAAACTCTCGCCACTCGCGACCGGGTATGTATAAATCCTCGATCGGCCCACACGAAGGCTGCGTGCCGTAAGGTTCGTCATCTTCAGCACTCTTCGCCTTTAGCAGATGTACCATGACCTCGTCCGGAAGGCTTGCGGTGCCATGAAATAGATCCAGCCGGATTCCAGCCGGAATCATGAAGTCCATCCCAAGGACCACATCCACCCCGGCACTGTGATCCATTATCCACATTTCAAATTCGTAGACCTGCTACCACCCGAGGGTGATCTTGACGAGCGCCCGTCGCCGGGTCTCCATCACCCCTGGGTTGATGCCGCGGACTTCGAGACTTCGTCCGTGGTCCCGGACTTCTCGCATACGTAGCCGCTTGGCGAAGCTGGCAGAAATCACGCTAACATTCGCTCCAGTGTCATGGAGTATCCTCGTTCGCGCGTCGCCCACTGCGCCATTGACCAAAGCCCTCATTCGCTTCCTCTTGTCGTATCGTTGGGACGACCACCACCCCAGTCTCTCGCCGGGCAGTAATTTCACCGCCCGAACGAGGCTCCGAGGTGGTCCCCTGATCTGGGCTAGACTTGTGATCAAAGCCTCGGTCGGGTGTCCATCACGTTCATCATCATCATCTTCATCAATACCAATCGCAACGAGACTTGCGTCCCGGTTCTCTCCATTTTCCGTCGGTTTCACACGTTCATTGTTCTTCAGGTCGTCAGGCCGTTTGCTTTCGCCCGTGAACGCGAACAGATAGTCCGCATCAACAGCAGGCTCAGCTAACTGTGGCAGCCCGATTGGGACCACCCCAGTTTCAGTTGGCGGGCTGCCTAGTTTAAATGGCTTCCATACACCAGGCTTTGCAGTTCTGGCGACAGATCCTTCTTGTCGACCTTGGACTTCAGGAGCTTGGTGAGCTCGTGGAGTGCTTCACACTTCCCAGCGTCGTGCACCTGTTTGCACAGTTTGCACCGCCGGTAGCAGAAGTGCACCGAGTGGGACGGGCTTCCGCACGCGGCACACGGCCCATACTGGCGTCGACCATCTCGTTCACGGTTGGACGGGCCTCCTCCGTTCCTGAAGCGTCGGTTATCAGACCGAGCGAACGTTCCTTCGGCTGCGGCCCTGCGCTCAGCATCGTTAGCAGCAGCGACATGTCCGGTAGACCCATCCGAGTCGTAATCAGCGTCTGAATCCTCGTCCGAGCGTTGGTCGTCCGAGTATTGGCGCTCATCCTCGAAGTAATCCTCGTTCGCCTCAGCATCACGTCGGGGGGGCGTATGGAGCCTCGTTGCGTGCACCGACCGAGCCTCCGACGTTCCATTCCGCCATCACATTGGCCAGCGCGTCAACCAAAGTGACTCGGGACTGGTACGGTGATCCATCGCGTCGGTCACGGCGACGGTCGTCTTCACTGCGGTCGTTGCGGCGGTTGTTGTCACGGCGACGTCGTTCGCGACGGTCTTCGTCGTAGTAGCGTCGTTCGCGGCGGTAGCCACCACCAGAATCCTCGTTCGACCTCGCATCGCGTCGACGTCCATCATCTTGACTCCGAGAGCGGCGGAACGACGATTCTCGGTTCGATTTGCGGTCACGGTGACGCAGGATGTCGTTGATCATATCTTCGAGGTCATGGATGCTCTTGACCCGGACGTGGCACAGACGGTCTTCTAAGTTTCGGTCGTCAAACGTGACCAAGAAGTGGTCCACGTGGTCCTTCGCGTCACGACCACCGTTTTCAAATTTCACACCGGCGTTGCGAGCGTAACCGTTGAGCCGGTTGAGGTAGTCACAAACGTGTTCCTTGTCTTCCCGCTTGGTCGAGTAGTACCGAGCCTTCGCAGACTTGGAAAACTTCGAGCAATAGTACTTGATGAACGCCTCGCTCAGCAACTTCCACGTGCGTCTTGTCTTGCGTGAGAGCTGGCGACACCAGTGCAGGGCTCCATCCCTGAGCTTAAGTTCGAACGGCATACACCACTCGTTGGGTGGTGCATGCGTTCCCTTCATCTCATAGATGAACGTTCGGAGCCACTGCATGGAGTGCTCGCTTTTGTCGCGCGGTCCGTAGAACGGCTTGATGTTGGCGAGAGGCAAATGCGTGGCGATCTCGAGCTTTGGGGTGGAGCTCTGGTTGTCGGTCGCGCTTAGCTCGCGCACCTGACGTGTCCATTCGCTCGGTAGGTCCCCTTCGTAGTAGTCGGGTCCGAGGTCGTCGTCGCTGTCCGACGAATCATTATGGAGGTCGTAACGTCGGCCCGACCGACGACCGGTCGCTCCGAGCGTGCCAGGCGTGGCGAATGAAGCCTCGTTCTCCCTAGCCAGACGTTCGCTACGGTCCGTAGATCGTGGAGTTACCATGTGCGAGTCTTGCATGTACGGCGAGGCTTCGCCCTTGGTTGCAAAGACACCGTCATCAGTGGCTCCCTTCCGAGGGGTGGGACCGTCGACGGGTCTACTGCCTCCGAAGTCGAACGAAGCATTGTTGGGCCTCGCGAACTGACGTCCGCCACTCCAAAGGCATTACGCAGCTTGTTCCTCCACTTGGTTAACGCCGTGGCAGCGGCGGTCGGCGTCCAACTCGCGAGCGCAGCCTCCGTGGGGAGGATCTGGGGTTCGCATCCCATAGCTCGCAGGAGGTCCACAGTATTCTGCGCAACGTGCCGAGTGCTCGTTGAGTTGATCGGCGTAGCCAACGCCCCTCAGAGGTCCATCCAGATGGCCTGGCGGACTTGCTTCGGGAAGAACAACTGCATCCATTCGCTCTTGATCTTCGTCAGGTCTAGGCACCGGCCTAGGACCTTGTTGGCCGCCGGAGTATCCCCGTTGAGAGGAGGACGAGTGCCAACCGGCTTGGAGGTTGCCCCTCCTACCGTAACCGAGGGTTTGAAGCCCTCGGTGGCGCCGTCGTCCGCGTCGTAGGCGGGCTCGGGGCCCGGCATGTCCTTGAACGTGCCGGAGAGGTCGCGGGGAATCGATCTTGATCCTCCACTGCGACCTGCCGAAACAACCGCAGCTTCCGAAGTCTCGGACATCACTGTCCGGAAATCCCAGTCATCATCTTCGTCATCTCATTTGGCGTCCGAGGAATCAATCGCCGTGTCGTAGCTCACCGAACGCTCGTCAATCGACTCCATCCGATCCGTCGTTGGGGTCGAGAATGAGCTTCCGGAGCGCACCGAAGTCTCGTTGCGCGTTCCACTCGACTTGGCCGGCGTTGCTGGTACCGCTGACTTCACTCCCTTCGCCATCTTCTCTCTTCTTCTTCTTCTTCCTCTTCTTCTCCTCTTCGCTCGTCGGGGGTAAAGACCTACAACAACCAAGACACACAGAAGGTCACACCAATCCCGGATCGCGGCACCAGTTGTGTTGTGGTAATACCACGAAAATTCTCTTCTACCAAAATGTATTAGAGACACCAACAACACGCTAACCCGCAAAGGTAAGCGCTTATTGGATCAAAACCTGAAGATCAGGAACGATCCCTTACACCGGGTCGGTTGCAAGCGCCTCTGTGCACCTTAGGTTATCTTCGGTCAACCCAAAAACCTGTACCGCTAGCCACGAGCTAAGGCTAGGATACTATGTAGCGCTTTCGCGCAACCCCACTGCAGTCCCTCAGGAAGGAAGGGTACCGGCGTGTTAGGCCTTATACAGGGGGACCAAGGTAAAACCTCGGTAGGTAGACTAATACACTCAGGGACACTCTAATCCCACAAATATATACTGAACGATACTCTAATACCGTTCCTGCCTCTCCGGCCACGCCAACTCTTGGCGCTGCCAAGGAAACTCTCGGTCAATGCACGATAAGCTCCCCGACAGGCATCCACACGCAGCCGAGCGTGCCCAGGCACAACAATAAGCTAGCTACACTTACCGAAGTCGGACTTGACCCTAGTTGGCTTGGAGGGAAGACTGTCTTTTTGTTACTGAGTTTTCTGAGGCCCTGGGGGCCTCGTTCTGGCCATCCTATGATGAGTCCTATGTCCCTTTACAACTATCTACTGTGAACAATCGCAATAAGGCGATTCCGGACACATCAAATGACGACCGCGGCTACACTAATAAGTGCGGCCGAAGTACGTAACTAAATGCATCTGTACCTAAAAGTGGGTACCATGAAGCCTCGTTCGGGGTTCTATTAGGACCCGACGACGCTTCGGCCACTGCCTGTCACTCTACCGAGGATAATGTCATCATCCAATCAGAAGCAGCCATCTCCGTCTCTCGCTTGACCTCGCCTAGATCGCCCCTTGATTGAACTTGATTGTCGGGCTGGCGGGTCAACAGCGTTGGAAACTGCCACTTTCCAATACCACAGAAGCGAGCGCGAAAGCGATTTGCGTATGCTTGATCGGCCAGATCATGGCAGGATTCTCGTGGACGGGGACTTTAACTGCACGCTCGTTGGCGGTTTGGATAGATCGTACCCCTCTGAGCGTAATGTGCATGATTCTCCGGAACTACGACGTTTGCTTAAATCGTGGACAGCTCGTGACTGCCTTGAAGCTGCTATGCCGCCACCGCACGATCAAGGTCGAGTTCGCCTCTTCCACATGAACAACCACACCTTCCGATACACAGTCAATGGTGCGGCGGCTACATGTCGTCTCGACCGGTGGTACAGTACCAGTTCCCTGCAGCAGTGGGTGGCTGCGGTCACGGTTGTACAGCCAGCGGCGAACGCAGATCATGATGGAGTGTTAGTACACTTACGGTCTCCAAAGAACCTGCTGCGAGTTAAGAAACCACTGCGAACTTACCCAGTTCCTGGGTATGCACAAAGCACTGTGAATGCCTGCACCCGCGGCGTCCTTGAAGCACTCAAGGACCGCATCGCTGAGGATACTCTGACTGCTGAAGAAGCTGTGGATCTATGGGAGGACGCGAAACAGCGGGTTGTCTGTGGTGTGCGACGATGCAGACGCCAAGCCCGGCGGCGGCTCAAACGAACTTATCGACAGAAACTTGCCCGACTTCTCAGGCAGCTACGTGTTGCTATCAACGCAGTCCCGTTGAGGACGAGATGGACGCTTTACCTGCTGCGATGGATACACTGTCGTTAGCCGATACAGTACCGAGCAATCGCATCGATAAGATTCGACGGGCTATTGCTGAGCTTGGTGTTGCACGTGGACAAACCAAGCTGAGACAACGGCTACGAGTGCACGCGTGGCACGAAGGCAAATCTTCACACGAGCTCTTTAGATCCATCTCGACGAAGTTTACGGACAACGCTGTTCCGACTCTGATTCCCAGTGAGGTGCACCCCCCACGGGATGTTCATGACAAGGCGAACATGTTCGCAGATGCTTGGACTTCAATATTCAGTCAGCCAGTGGCACAGCTATGGACGACGCGCTCAAATGGACGGAAGAGCATGGTGTGCAGGACGACCTGATGCGTGCAGTGACTGCTGAAATAACTTAAGCGGAAGTTGCTGCTGCTATCGGTGCATGTAAGGCAGGGAAGGCATGGTGCCCGGACACACTTGGCAATGATTGGTATCGAGACTTTAAGGAGCTCTTGATCCCGATTCTGACGCAGTTGGTCAACATTTGGTACAAAGCGGGTGTATTTCCACCTACGTTTCTCCAAGCAGACATCTTCTGCTTAAAGAAGAGTGGTGACTTGTCGAACCCGCTGAACTATCGACCGTTTGCCTTGTTGAATTCTGACTACAAGATCATTACGCGCATCTTGGCTACTCGAGTGAGCAAGACGTTGCTCTCTCGTATTCACAGCCACCAAAAAGGATTTGTACCCGGGCGTCAAATACATGATACGATCGATCTGTTTATGGCTGCGCAACAGATGGCGAATCTGGATGACGAGCAGCGCGAAGCTCTGGCGCTGCTACTAGATTTTCAAAAAGCCTACGATTCGCTTGGACGTCGATACCTCATCCGTGCATAGGAGGCGCATGGCTATCCAGCCCAATTCTTCCGTGCCATCGACCGCCTACACGAGGGCACACAGGTACGCTTTCTGGTCAATGGTTCTCGGTCGAGGTGGGTGCCAGTGACGACGGGAATTAGGCAGGGGTGCCCGCTCGCACCTTTGTTGTTTATCTTAGCGCTGGACCCCTACTACCGAGCTATTGAAGCAAGCAAGTCGTTACGGGGACTTCACCTCAAAGCAGCGGGACGTAATATTGAGTTACGAGTAGGAGGGTATGCTGACGATACGGCCGTATATCTGGCGTCCTCGCAAGACGTCCCCTGCCTGCTTCAGATCACGAGCGCTTTTAGTGAAGGTAGTGGACTACACGTCAACGAACACAAGGCCGCTGTCATATCTCTGTATTCCAATGGTCCGCCACCATCGATGCGCCTACCTGGCCGGTTTGTTTTTCAAGCTGGGGATGCTTTCACGCGTTATCTCGGGGCTCAAGTTGGCAGTCAATGCGCGGCTGAGCACACGTGGGATAAAACGACTTCTCAACTGCGGGCCAGATTACGAATTGCTTCAGCTAAACTCCTGACCGAAGATCAACGTGCTGTTGTTGAAGTATCTGTTATCATTCCGAAACTCACGTTTGTTGCTCGGCACTCCTGGCCGACACCACAACGTATCCAGGATCTGCAGAAACTCATCCACAATTTTGTGTGGTTTGGTCGATTTGATGGGACGGGGCCTCTGGGGCGAGCCTGGATCTCGAGTGACATTGCAATGCTTTCTCGTGGGCATGGGGGACTCGCTATCCCTCAAGTTCGTCTCGAAGTTCTCGCTTTGGCCGCCACGGAGGTCGCCCGCTGGGCGCTGACCAGCGATAAGACGATGCTTGTTGTTGGGGAAATGATTGGGCGCCTTGCTCCAGCGGCCGGCAGAGATACGTATATCTCAGCCAGCTACTCGGAGCTCAACCCCCTGGACGGACGTTTCCCCTCTTCCATTTGAAGGGCGGGGAGGGACATGCTGGCTGCGGTTGGACTCAAGAAGCAACATGCACCCCCTCCCCTGTCCAGCTCGCAACTCCATCGATTATTGCGATTCATGCGGCCCTTCCATCTCTCTCTGAGTGGTTGGGTGGAACATGTCTGATCGACATACGCCACATCAAACGATCGGCAACTTACGATATTCGTCAATGGCTTGGATCCAACAACGGTACATTATGTGCAGAGTGGCTGCCGTGGTTTGAACTTCGACAATTGGTTTTGTTTGGAGCTGGTGGTGATCGTGTTACGCCTACGATTTGCAACTCTAGCTTTACGGTTTCGAGCTCCCGTGTTGGTGACATTCTACGATGGCTACACGTTAATGACTTCCACATCACATTTAAACTGCTCAAAGATGGCAAGGGAATCTTGAATCCGTCACAAGTGTTTAAAACTCACGCCACGCAATTCAACGGACTTCTGATGCTCAATCTGCCTGACATGGTCTACGACTCAAGGTACACCGAGGGCATCAGATTGCCAACCAGAAATAACCACCCGTACGCGCTGGACGTTCCATCGGCAACTCCATTAACGGCCAGATTGTCCACGGTTGGTACTAGCGAACCCAGCTTTTTTCCTATTCACGGCGTTCCACACCTTCTCGCAGCAGTCCAGCAAAAGATTGCCTCCACTTCGGAAATCGTAGGGTTCCATACCCACCCCGACTGGATCGACTAGCTTGCTTGTGGGTCGGGAAGCGCCGCTGGAGCTGTACGAGGAGGGAAATCAAGCAGCGAGCCTCCGCCATCAGCACTGGAGACGCTGTCGCTCTGCTAACCCAGCGGGTACAACAATGGAATACGAAGGACCCAGTCATTCATCAAGCTCTTTCGGCAATTCCCTGGCAACAGATTCGCCGCTGGCCTGGATTGGATGCGTGGGGTGGACGGTTCCTGTATCGGCTGAAAACACGTGGCATCAAAAGCTACGATCGTCTCCAACAGCGCCTGGGATGTCCACATACACTGTGTGTTGGATGTCATGCTCCCACGCTTGCACACGTCTTCTGGGAGTGCCCGTCAGAACAGACGCTGTGGTCCGTATTCTTAACACGCTGGGCGCAGCTTGGGCTCTCCGTGGATCGGACAAATACATCCACTTGCTTCCGGTTTGACCTCCCTGCGGTTCCAATATGATTCATCAGTCGAGCAGAGGAGGAACTTTTTTGGTTGTCCAAGGCGCAGAGGGATGCCATCCTCCTTCAACTGCACGGAGCGGCTCAAGACTGCTGGAGACTGGGCGTTCTCACCCTGCTTCGCGTTATTTGGAAATGGAGGACGGCTCACTATTCAATCTTGGCCTCGACGGCAGTGCCACAGCACACGGCAATGCTCAGGGCTCGCCTACGAAGTGGGTATCGGGGTGTGGAAGACGCATATTATAAAGCGCGACGGAACAGTCCCCAACACAGGGCAATCCGCTCGGTTGTTGGAACTCTGCATGGGTTTTGGGACCCAACACATGTGCGAGTGGCATGCACTACCACTAGCTACGTTTTATTTTTTGACGGTGGTTCTAGAGGGAATCCGGGGCCAGACGGCAGCGGATCAGTCATTGTGCAACTTCGAAATGGATCCACCGTCGGTGTAAATATCTGGGCGGCCAGCATGTCATATGCGGCGGCTACCACGACCAACAATCAAGCAGAATACAGAGGGCTATTATACGCTGCAAGGACACCTGAGATTCGACCACTGCACGTAGTTGGGGACAGCCAGCATATCGTTCGACAGCAACACCGGCGCAACCCGCCCAAGGTGGAGCACCTCCGTGTGCTCTACCAACGCTGCCGAGTGGCGGCGGATATATGTGTAGTACGCTCGTGGATTTATCATCTTCGAGAGTTCAACAAGACGGCGGACTGGCCGGCTAATATGGCAATGGACTCCAGATTCAGCAGACAGGTCGTGTTTGATGGGAATGCGCACAGCGAAACCCTGTGGAGGCCCGCAGCTCAACTCGCGGCTGGGGATATACAATACTGGATGGATGGGCGCTTATCAGAACGGTAAGTGCTCACGACGGCGTAGTCCACCGCATTAACGGACCCCATTACGCTATGTAGTGGTAGCTTGCCAGCGACGTAAACGAGCGAAGGCGGGAGCTTTGTATTAGAAGTCGTTAGTGTTTCTCTAAGTGACTACAATACAAAAAAAAATCCGTCGTAATTTGTGGAGACGTCAAATTCGTCTCCACAAATTGCGTCGAGCGCAAATGAAACGTACCATTATTTTGGTGCAATTCCCAATCACCACTCATGCTGTGCGTTCACGCCCGCGCTCTCAAGCTCTGCGTCAGCGCGCCCAAGCCGTGGACAGCAGAGCCAGCGGAAGAGGCTGAGTGTTTACTACCACCCAAGTTGATTGTACGTGCACCTTACGCATTGTTTACTACTGCTGTCTAATGAGCTGACTAGCCGCACCGCGGCACGGTCACTAGCCAGCATGTACAAAACGTGAGCGTAGCCATGTATTTAGCAGTCAGATGTGATGGTTTTGGTCGGTATCATCGGTTGTAGCAAACACGACGCACACGGGGACATATTTGGCACATAAATTGCGATTTTGTGACAGCGTTTGTGTCAGTTTTGGAAGAGTTCCATTATCCCAGTATGAACACTCCCGATTAGCATATCCCTTCAAATCGGGTCGTCGATTCGAATGGTATGACTACATGTACAGTAACGTGCCTCAATAAACAATCAGGTATTAGGGGCAGATATGAAATGACCGGTCATTTTTTGAATAGCTTATCTACATGTAGACATGCAAAGCTGTAGCTTGCTGCGCGCTCGGGCAGCAAGCTGCAGCCGACGGGCGCCTCTGCGACAACAGCGCTGCGTAGAGGACGCACGTAGGAACGTAGGAGCGTTAGCTGCCCGTTATCTGTCTGCCACGCATGTCCCAGAGCAACCATTTCGGGAAATGTCTGACCATTTCAGAAATGGTTCGGCCAAACAGGTGAACCATTTCGCGAAATGGATATGTCGGCTGACCATATTTTTTATGGTGACCATTTCGGCCGAAAAAGGTCGGCGAAAAGCTAATTCTGACCCACCCCTATTGTAACAACGAATAGACTGACGCTATTATATAACATATGGGAAAAAAGAAAGGATAATATTTGTTGACGTACTGATATTAGATATTTTATAGTGTATTGCTGTTGTACCTTAGTCCATTATATCAAACTGTGTCGACCCTTTTGAGCTTCTTGACCCTCAAGGTATTGAATTGCTGTTATGGCTGGAGACAAAGCATTTAAAAAATGGTTTACCGTACCATCAGCAACGCTTCATTTCAATCCAGGTAATGTGTCGTACTAAATCAATTCATGCTGCCCCTTCTTTATTGTCTGTGTAGTATTGATAGTCTGCTATACTCTATCCATATCAGAGGCTGTTTATTGAGGGACATTACTGTACTGCCAAAAATATGCCCTTCTGTACCATCATCTAGTTCCTCTCAAATCGCTATCAAAAATCGCTACCGCACATACGAGAGCTTTGATTAGGCTAGGATAGCTAAGGAAATTGGATGAGGCAAACTGGACTGCGGTACAGAGCATTTGTGTCTTATTCGGGGAGGCGGTGCATTTAAAAATAAAGAAATTAAGCACTTAACGTAGTTGGCGTATCCTCGACACTCGTTTTGAATTAGTACATCCGTAGGACAAGTTAAATGATCAAACGTTTTGGCAGTGGAAAGAACGACACATTGATTACGGAGTTTTGTTTGGGTTCGTACTCGTTGTCTGGCTACATCGGCTCCATATCATCGATCATCATTATAGACAAAGAGGTTGAACATGCAAGCACGCTTTTTAATCAATTAAAACTAATAAACTTGGGCACAGCGACTCGTATTCGGGTCTCCTTGTTATATATTGTCACTAGTCGATTTTACGCTCGAGCCGTGATAGCGGTTTTGCAGCGCAAAGTTTGATCTAGCACAGAATTCGAGTCAAGAAACACGACTAGTTAATTCAAACTACGGGCAATTACGGCGCCTGCTTCGCAGCCGCAGCATCTGCCCAGTAACGCGTTTATATGATACCCACCGGGGGCAGCACTAAAACTATCAATCACGTGTGGGGCCGAAGCAGCACGACGCAGGACTCGCTGCCACGCGCGCTACACACACCAACTCACATTGCACATTTAAATAAGTATTTACATGTAGCCTACATACCGTAAAACACGGATCCAATGTTACACTCGTAAAAAGTTGATAATAAATATAAAAAAGACGGTACACTAGTTTTTACACTGGTAAAAAGTTTCGGGGCTCTTCCTGCCAGTGATCCTAGTAGGCGCCAAAGCTGACATCCTCCCCTTTTGCCTTTCAGTTATTTTCCTCTCACGGAATGCCAAACCGCCCAAAGAAAAAAAACAAGCACAAGCTGTGTGCCCTTGCCATGGCGGCGGGGACTGTTACAGCAACTGCAGCAGCTACCAGTGTGCACCACACCACAATCTACCGCTGGTAGAAGGGCGCTACAGCCCTTACGTCCGCCAAACCCAACAAGTACCACGTAAACCCCGGCAACAACCGCTCGATGTACATCAAAAACCCAGAGTTGGAAGAAAGGTATTCATTATTATTTTCAAAGCTTAACGTGAAGAATTTTTAGTAACTCATTTATTTGGTATTTTTAACTAGACTGCTTCAGTGGATCATCGATATTCGAAAGAACCGCTCGCTCTGCGTTTCTATGGAGTGCCTCCTCATCATGCATGCTAGGTATAATGCATTCCTTTTCTCATCAAGATCGAGGGCTGCAAAGGTTGAGTTCCTGCGGCGCCTGCTTAAGCGAAACCGACTTACTATCCGACGCATCACGCATAAAGGACGCAAAAAGAGGTCCTGAGTCTACAATTATTACTGGTTTTACTTATATATACTAACATTCAGATTTGGGATGTATTTTATAGCGCGTCGCCGGCGTATTTTCCAACTCAATACAGCATGTGATTGAGGAGTCCGGGTCGTTGTCGTTTATTAAGGGTGCCCTGAAGTACGAGTCTGTCTTTAACATGGACCAAACCGCGATTTTTATCGACATGAACGTTAAAATGACGATTGAGTTTGTAGGGACTCCTACAGTCGACGTCGTTCAAGGTGAGTTTATTTGTTTTGGTTTGACGACAAAAAATTCTAACCTTTTTTTTATTTAACAGGCTGCGAGGTAAATGGCTTTAGAGCCTCCGTTTTCCTGGCCGCATCCGCCACGGGAGTGAAGCTGCCGCCACTCATCGTCTTTGCTGGTATCCCTGGTGGACCGGTCTCGCATTCGGTATGGAGCCCATACTTTGGGTCACCGGGATGCGAGCACACGGTGCAGCGTAAGGCGTATTGCAGCGAGGACGTGAAGCATGAGTGGATTCAACGGGTATCTAGCTGATTGCATTGTTTGAATTATTGTTGAATTTTAATTCGCCTAACTTGTTTTATGCTGTAAAGATTTGGAGGCCTAGTGTAGATGGCTGCAAGCTTTTGCTCCTCGACAGCTTAAAAGTGCACAAGATGCAAACGGTGAAGACTGTGCTTGAAGAGAAGTGCTGCACACCGGTGGAATTTATTCCACCTGGCATCACCGGCATCGCGCAACCTATGGACGTGGCTGTAATGAAGTCTTTCAAGGATCACGTCCGGTATGTCTATGCTACGAACGATCTCGCTATCACAGTGTCATTGAATAATTGATTGTTATGATTGCTACCTGACATACCACGTTGAGAACGACTTTCCAGAAACATCTCAACAGAAGCGCGAGCTGCTCTCCCGCTTTGTCGCGGATGCATGGAACAAGGTGTTGGCAGCAAGTATCCGAAACGGATTTATTAAGAGCGGCATCGTCCCAATTGGTCCGCGAGATAGTGCGGACCGGTTTCGAGTTGGCGAAGTACAGACTAGAGCGTGAGAACGAGACGGGTAACAACTAATACCCGATTTAACCGATGAGATGAGGTATTAGAGTCAATGTAAAATATATAAAGTGGTGTCTGCCACATATGATTCTCTTTTAAATCCGGATGTATCAGGCGTCTCGTTCTCACGCTCTAGTCTGTACAAGAAGATGAGGCTCCGATTTTGCAAGACGTTTAGGGTAACATTAACATGAGACGGGGTGTCACCTTTAATAACTTTGTGTTCTGACTATTTTGTGTTTCGTTTTTACGGGTTGTTGCACCCGATCCACGTGTAGCATTGGATCCGTGTTTTACGGTACCGTATTTTAGATTTCATACTACAGAGAGATTTCATAATTCAGAGCGGAGAGATAGTGCATTTGCGACAGAATATGGCCATTTTTGGCAAGAAAGATCCAACAATGCGCACAAAAAGGGCGAAATGGTGCAAAGACAAAATACAACAATACAACTTCAAGGTATGGTGTATGAAGTATGAGATCTCAAATACGGTACCCCTTATATTGTAGGGCCTGTAGCAAACCGGTCCATGTACAGTAAGGATAAGTCGTCGAGGAATCATCAAACGACTACCCTCGCCATGTGTACAGCACAGATCCTACTACAAGTTCATCTCAAGGACGTAATCGACAGAATACAGGTTCCACTGGATCGCATGGCGGTCGAGTATCTCGCATTTCCTACTTTTTTGTATCATAGGCTAAATATGTATCCTTAATTAAGTGCACCTAATATTGTGCTTTGCACGAACTTTGGCATGCGATTAAATGCTCTAAACCAACGAGCGAATCCTTCCCTGTGATCATATCTCGCAGCCTAACTCGAAGTTAAAGTTAAACTAATCAACCGCTAGTCCCAAGCACAACGCAGAGCAAGAATGGAGCGGTTGCCACTGCAAGAGTAGATCGGTTCGCTGCAAGAAAAGGCAACTGATGAGGTTCCCCATAGATTCGCGCTAACTCCTTGGAGTAAGAACCGATTTCGGCGGGGACTCTTTCTCTCGCGCAAGGTTCTGATGAAGAGCGCTTCGTCGGGACATTGCGCGTTAAACCAAGGTTGAATATCAGAGCACGGCATATAGTAGCAGTAGAAATATTTGGAGGCAGGAAACGCTGACTTTAAAGCTGCTTGTAGCTCCTCGACTTAAAAACGGGGATGTTCTTCAATAGTGTAGACGTAGTTTAGTACGATAGATAGCGAACGCATGTTAATCGAGATAATAATCGACTGGAAAACAATCAGACGAAGCGAGCAAGTTATAATGTAGGACCGTAGTATTGGCGGGTTTACTCCAGCCATTCATCGAAAGTTGGCATACCTCAACGTTAACTCGTTGTTTTACAGATCTCCCCTACATATCTACACGAGCAATGTACAATATACCTCGCAAAGGTAGTGCAGACATGCTCGAGATTTGCTCCAGCTGTCAGGAGGGTGTTCTGAGTTAGATGAGGAAAAATGTCGCAAAGCCGGAAAGTCTAATCGAGCTCGGCTCTGATGCTGCGCCACGCCTCTGCGAAATCGACAAACTCAGTACAATTGTATTTATGTCTAACCTTCGTGAAATGTTTAACTTCGCAGCTTTTATTGGTCCGACCTTTGCAGATTCTCCGGGGAGATCTGTAGCAGCTATTCTATCTCAAATCGACGAGTTAGTCTGCTAACTTTATGATGGGCTAATCACCGTGATTTGCCAAAACAACGAATTACGTCGTTTTTTAGACAGAAAGCATGCAAGGCACAATAATAACTGTACATTGACAGGTGGGTCTTGTCTACCCCATTACTTTTAATACTGCGGTCACCGCAGTATTAAAAGTACACCACAGTGCGGTGTCGACGGCATTGTATTACCGCACAGTAAGCGGGAGACTGACAAACACATTGTGCCAAGCGAGAAAAAAAACTGGCAAAACTGTGTACCATTAGCGTTGTGTACTACTACCTTGCTGCATGATATATAGCGAGGCTCACGCAAAAGGACCGATAAACTATATTTTCGTGTTAATTAAAATTGTAACCTTCAACATTGAGCATATAACAAAACGACGGAACGATTAGTTGGACCACCGCGATACTAATACTGTACCGACACGATGCTCATTATCTCGGGATGCTGCAACACTAATGGCATGTCCTATGCGTCGTGCCCAACAGCGACGAAGCCAACCCGCCTTCCCTTCACACTTTTCAACTTGTGCCGCAACCCCCACGCCCTCAGTTCTCATGACACGCCATGCGCCTGAACTCCATTCTTGTCGTGGTTGTGGCCACTTTCGTCGTGAGTTGCGACCCCGCCACTGCTGCCGAGCGGTCGGAACATACCCAGCTCTCGACCCTTACGTCGGTCAACGCCGCCCCTATGAAGAACGCGCGGTTCCTGAGAAGCGCCAGGACGGAGGAAGAGGAAAACGAGGAAGAGAGAAAAATCCCCAGCTACCTCACCCACCCCCTACTCGCCCCGGAGAAGCAAGTGGTGGCGGCTGCGAAAGCTGCGGAGAAGGCGACCAAACTGACGAAGTATGATGACGAAATTCTGACCAACCTCATGAAAATCGACGGCGGGATGAGTAGGTTTATGCGGTGGCAGAAGAAAGAATTCACGCTTGCCATTGCGAAGAAGATTTTGACGGAGTCGAAGGTCAGGCCAAACGGCCCGGAGTGGCAGACGTACTACCAGTACTTGGCTGCGATCTTGAGGCAGAACCACAAGGTTAACTAAGGAGCTCGCAGATTTGCTTTTGATAGGGCACGTAAGATGGATAGCACTTGTCTTAAAGTAAGGGAAATAGCAATAACTGTATATCAAAGAGTCGTTACAGTACCTCAATAACAACTCTTATGGCAACGTTAGTAGTTAATCGCCTTCTTATCATAGCAACGCTATCGGAGGGCCAGCTCCATGTTTTATCCACCCTGGGGTGTATGTAGGTTATTCGCTCACGCCCTCCTAGTGTGGACCAGCTATTGGAGCGATTTCCGCAGCGAGCCCCCAGAATGCTGCGGGAATCGCCCCAATGTTTGCACATTTTACGGGTTTTAGTTACCAAAGCAGGTTCTACTCGCCAACCGGCCACAGCCATAGGATAACGTAGCGTTGAAGAATATAGCAGAGGTCGCAAATGTAGAAATTCAGCAGGGCTTGGTGGCCCCCCCACCCCCTTCCGTCTAGCATTTACATGTAAGCTCGCTTTTTAAAGTGTTTCTGCAACGTTAAAACCGTTTAAAAGCACCAGCCGTACGCATCCGAGTAACGTCGCATTTTGAACATGTAGAGTAGAAGCATTGACCATCTGGAACCAAGGAAACGATTGCTTTTTCATTGGAAATCGAGGACACTGCAACATACAGTACAGGTATATCGCTGTAAGTTACAAGCAGCAGTACGTGTTCATCCTGCTAGCTGTTGCCAAAAATAACGTTAATTATCAGCAACCACTGCGTTCTTTTACCAGCTCTCACTTTCGCAACACTGGTAACTCTACTGATGGTCTTCCGGGGCTGTGCAGGTTACGGTACACCGCGTAAAATGTGGGCCCAGCAAGATGCTTTCCGGGCTGTGCTATGCGAACTGTACCATCCTCTTTAGAACGACGAAGTCTTATTTTACTGGGATAGCAGTGGCCGATAGGTCATGCTGCTAGGCAGCCCAAATCGGGTTAATTCGGACCTCGGTAACTGAAGCCAGTAAACTGAGGCCGGTAAACTGAAGCCGAGTCGCTGTTTGTCTTTCAGTGATAGGTGGCTGCATGACCACATCCATCGTAGAACGGAACTTCAGCTATTGTGCCATTTCCCATTCTATCACTAAACCAAGTAACCAGCCCACGTACCTACGCCTGCGTCCAGCTTGCACGCGAGCTACGACGATTGCCAGAATACAACCACCACGGCCCTTGAAGTGACATGGCCATGGCACTAGGGCCTACGAAGGCTATGATTTAGTTTTTTTAGTTTTATAGGAGGCGTTTTATCATTACCCATGAGCATCCCATGGCATCTCCTGTCTAGTAAAACGATCTGAAAAGTAGATATAGCAAGGTTGGAAGAGGTGGGAAGAAAAAAATCTAAACCCAAACGAACCTTAGTATTTGTAGCTTGACTACATGTACCCATGCATGTAGTGTGGTACTGGGTTAGAATGGCGTCGATGATAGTTATATTCATGACCACGCCAGTGCATCACGCGCAATTCTTCATCAGCGGTATGAACTGAGAAGTACAAATGTTGTAGCTGCAAGATCGAAAGCGTGATAATAGCCCTCAATGCATGAGGCCAAACTTTTACAGAGACATTGAGCAGACTATTTTTTTTAGAAACCCTTAAATTTCAAAGCTTCTTTGGCACGTTTACATTACTGGCCCGCTCGAACACTGGGGAGCCTAACGCTTTGGTCGCCACGACTGCTACGCACGGCAATATTGTAGCTGGAAGGGTGTATGATGCGCGCATCTTAGTGACTAGACATCATGACCTACAGATTATTTCAGGGTACTAAAAATGACAAGACCGTGCGAAAGTAAACAAAACACAACATGATTTAGAATACTGCGAACTTATATACTTTTCATAAAGGTATCACCCATGAAGCTGATAGCTCTTCTTCTCACTTCCTAGTCAAGAGAGGGGGTCGATAAGCTTAGCTTAGTTTCGTGGTCGCGCTTGCACGCCTTGATAGTCGTAATACTACTGCTGTGCTGAAAGCTCTGTTTGTCCCCGAAAAATTGCTATCCCAGCCTAAGCGTAGCCCTAGTAAAATAAAAGTACGCGCACGCACTCTGCGAGCTTAGGCAGTATACAGTATGCTGCATACTACACGTAAGTACAGTAGGTCGAATGAACTCGACTTTACTGTACCCCCTTTCACTTTGTGCAGCCATTTTTTCCTAATCCCATGATGAGACGGGTCTCTGCTTGACGCACGTCCGCGTCGAGAAACTTCCGCCTAATACAACAGCGAAGATGCAGCCCAGGGACCAGGGCATCATTTACTGCGTCAAGCGCGAAGTGCTGACACAGAAAATGATGCATGCACTTGGCTACATTGGAGAATCCTGCGATGATGCTTATACAGTCGACTTACTAACTGCCATGAAGTGGTGCGAGTCTGCGTGGGATAATGTGTCAGCTTCTACGATTCAGAAGTGCTGGTTGCACTCCACGCTCATTAGTAAAAGCGGTGTGTCATTTATTCTCAACTAAATCAATACATTGTTCTTTCTTTTTCCACTTGTTCGTCTTAATAGCCTTTAAACTCCTATCCATATCAGAGGTCCCTTATTGACGCACGTTACTGTACGTAGAACGGCATCATCAAACTTTTACTGGGCCGCCATGGTTTTGTCCTTCAAAAGGCGGATTGTTATTAATAAAGTGTCGGTCATAACTGGGTCCAAAAATTGTACTTGAAGTATACAGTAGGTCAAACTTCGTGGGGGGGGCTTGTTCTTTGACACAAATACCTGGCCGGTTCGATTTGTGAAGTATTTGCCTCGAGAACGAGTTTGGTGTACAGTAGCTACTTTGGAGCCTAAGGCAGCAGCGAGTAACTCGCTTACGAGTACAGTAGCACCTACATGTTAATAATAGTAGTTGTTTAAACTACGGTATTAAAATACCTTAGCAAGCACAACGACCGCATGCGGGTGCACTTCTCAAGAGACTCTTTTCTGGTAGAGTCTGGACTACTACAGAATCGACAGTGCAGGTGCTTTCCGATTGGGTCTCCGTAGCGTGGGCTATCCCAAGATGGTGTGACATCAAATGCTGCGTTACGGTCTCACGCGCTTTGTCGCTGTCAAAGTTAGTATCTCAAATAGTGGCATGGATACCCAATCTAGCACAATATGGCTAAGATCACAAACTGTGTACTAGCACTGTAAGTTTGTGTACGGGTACATATACCCTGTAAGTTCTGTTTGATCATGTTTAAGAGGACACCAATGGTTGGCACCGGAGCGAGGCTCCGGTGCCACCCCTGGTATCCGACACTTTCTTTAAATTCAACACAACTTCTTTTTCATCTTCCTACTCAAGTCTTCTTCGTCTTCAACCTCAAGTCTCACCCCGCAACAGGTCATGAGCCCTACGCAAGCCTCGCCCGCCAACGACCGCGACTTTTCTCGCCTGAACGGCAAGAATTTCATCATCTGGAAAACCCGTGTCTCCGCAGCTCTCGACGGCAAGAACCTCCTCGGCTTCGTCACTCAAGCAGACTACGCTGGGGACTCGGACGTCGACCTCGGCGAAGACGAAGAGCTCCACCCGGTCTGCCATCCGGACATCCACGGTGTGGCCAAGCCCGACTCGCTACAAGACTCCTCGTCAAGTGAGGCCTCTGATGGCAGCTCGGATGATTCGGCCGGAGACGACGGCGATGTGGACATGGAGAAGGAAAAACCTCCCGTGGTCCTGTCCTTCACTGTCCAGAAGAAGCAGGAGTTGGACCAAGCTGAGAAGCTGAAGGCCAAGAGCCGACAGCTGAGCGCCAAGAAGCTACGCCACATGGAAGCGAAAGCCAAGGCGTTACTGATCAAGACCATTGACGACCAACACGTCCTCATGGTCAAGGAAAAGACTACAGCGTATGAGATCTATCAGACTCTCTGTAGCAAGTACGAGGATGCAGCCATCCACGGCGACCCGTACTTTATCCAGTCGTACCTGATGGCACTGAAGTACAAGGAAGGAAGCGACCTCACTTCATTCATCTACGGCCTGGAGGAAGCAATGGCGGCAGCCGCTCATTCAACCAACAGCGTGCTCGGCGACGAGCAAAAATCGCTCTATCTGTATCATTCTCTGCCGACGGACTGGAAGCCCGACCTAGCAGTCTGGAAGGGTAGCAAGAAGTACATTCCGTGCGCCGACCTCAAGCGCAACATCGAGACCAAGGTCCAGAACGAACTTGCGCGCAATCGCTACATTCTCAAGCTGGGGAAGAATCCCAGGAGACCCGTGCTGAAACAGCCATGCCAGCCTCAGCCCCTGAGCAAGTGCTCGTGGCGGCTCCACCCAAGGAGGATACAGCGCTGGCGGCATCGCTCAAGTGCACCTGCTGCCATCGTGACAACCACGCTGAGCCACTCCAGGAACCGCAGTCACAACAACAGCAACACCAGCGACAGCAACAAACGTCGCAGCGCCACCACCCCTACAAGGGCAACTACACTGGCAACAGCGGAAACCAGTCTCGCAATAATAACCGCGGGCCGCGCAATGGAAACCGCAACGACAATAGCAGGTCCCAAGGACGCAACAAGTACCATGGCCGCCGCAACCGTGACGATGAGGACAACAGCGACTACGGCATCATCGCCATCACGACACTGGACCTCAGCCAAGAAACCGAAGCGGTGAACCTCACTGCTCTTGAGTCTGACCATAATCCCATGTGGACTGTCGACTCTGGCTGTACCCGTCATGTCACCTCGAGCTCGAAGTGGTTCAAAATACTCAAGCCAATGGCGGGAAAGGCCATCACGGTCGGTGGAAACCACCAAATTCCAATCAAGGGAGCTGGTGATGTGGAGCTGAAGATCAAGGACACCAAGGGAAAGGAGCGGATCATTGTTCTCAACGACGTGCTGCACCTGAGCTGAAGTGTAACCTGCTCTCCGTCCGCCAAGCGGTTGGAAATGACTTCAAGATCAACTTCCCCAACGCCAAGAAGTGAGCGCTGTTCTTTGCCCACCACATCAAGTTTGAAGCCAAGACTGGAGACGGCAAGTCCCTCTACCAGTTCCAAGCCAAACCAATGAACTCTGACGAAGGCGCCCATGTGGCCGCCTCAGGTAAGTTGGACAATGTTCTGTTATGGCACAAACGAATGGGCCATCCTGACTTCCGCATTATGCAGGATCTGGCTAAGGCGAACACCGTCACGGACATGGGACTGTCGAACGTCGACCCAAAGCAAGACTACTTCTGCTCGTCCTGCACTTACGCTAAGTCCCACCGTAACCCATTCAATAAACGTATCGTTGAAAGGGCGAAATTTCCTCTTGAAAAAGTTCACACAGACACGGCAGGACCCCTGCCAGTCCCAACACTCTCAGGATGTCAATATTTCCTGACCTTCATTGATGACTACACTCGTTACATGTTCATTTACATCCTTAAACGAAAGTCAGACCTGTACGAGTCCTACGAGGACTTTAGGAAGAAGACCCAGAACATTTTCCGTGCAGAAGTGGGTGAAATCCACTACCACGAGAACTTGCACGACGACGAAGTCAAATACTTGCAAAGTGACAATGCTCGAGAATACGAGAAACTGGGTCGTATCATCTTTCAGAAATACAACACCCATGCGCAGTTCACAAACGCCTACACTCCACAACAAAATGGAGTAGCAGAGAGGCGCATGCGCACTCTACTTGAGCGCACAAGAGCCTTCCTCATTGACGGCAACCTGCCGCAGGTACTGTGGGGGAATGCATCAAACACGTTGCCAACGTACTCAATATCACACCTAGCTCTGTGACGGACAATATCACACCTCATGTAAAGTGGTTTAAGAAACAACCATCCGCTCACTACATTAAGGTGTTCGGCTGCACGGCTTACGCCCACATTCCGGAACTTTACCGAAACAACCTTGAGGCCAGAGCTCGCAAGTGCATGTACCTGGGCATCCCATCCAATAAAAAGGGATATGGACTCCTTGACACCCAAGAGAACCGCATTATATACAGCAGAGATGTCACTTTCCGGGAACATGAATTCCCTCAACTGGAGTTTCTTAATCCAACCACTGCCCCAAATGTGCTCAACCCGACAACTGAACGGGCACCCACCCTACCAACACCACAGGCGCTACCACCACTCTCTGTCATGCTAAAACGCACTGCTGACGCGCTCACGGCGGGAACAATCACGACCTCTAGCAAGAAAGCAAAAATCGCTGATCTTGATGCAGGAATTGATGCAACAAAGACACTACTTAACGATGAAGAGGACCAGGAAGAACGCAAAGCGCACCTCTCGCAGATGTACACATTGTTGGCCATTAGGCATATTTCAGAACCAAAGACCTATTCTGCTGCAATGAACCTGCCTGAAGCCCGCCACTGGAAGGCGGCTGCCCGATCGGAATACAAGTCCTTAATGGACAATAACACTTGGCTTCTCACAGCTCTCCCAAAAGGAAGGAAGGCACTCCTGTGTCGATGGGTGTTTGTCGTTAAATACAAAGGCGATGGCACCATCTATCGCTATAAAGCCCGCCTTGTCATTAAAGGTTTTCTCCAAAAGTATGGCATTGACTACGATGAGATCTTCTCACCCGTCATCTGCATGGAAGTCTTACGCCTTCTCTTGACGATCGCCGCACTACTTGACCTAGAAATCCACCAAATGGATGTCAAGACAGCGTTTCTTAATGGATACCTAGATGAAGAAATCTACACGGAACAACCTGAAGGTTTCACCGTCCGAGGCAAAGAACATCTCGTGTGCAAACTGCTCAAGAGCCTTTACGGCCTAAAGCAAACTCCCCGCATCTGGTATCTCACGCTGTGTGTATTTCTCAAAACCATGAAGTTCCACAAGCTGATTAAAGATCAGCGTGTCTTCATCGGAGAAATTGACGGTCAGACATGCTATGTCTTGGTCTATGTCGATGACCTCCTCATTATTGCACCGACGACTCGCATCATCAACCACATTAAAGACGCGCTCAAGAAGCGCTTTAAAATGTCTGATCTTGGTGAAGCCAGTACCTTTTGGGGTGGTCCATTGTTCGTGATCGCAAAAACCGATCCATCTTCCTCCACCAAGAGAAGTACGCTACCAAAGTACTGGACCGCTTCAACCACCTCGATGCACAGCCAGTAGCAACTCCCACGGACAAGAGCATAAAGCTTTGCCTGGATATGTGCCCCAAAACAGACTCTGAGAAGAACGAGATGAAAGCGATCCCGTACAGAGAGGCAGTCGGTAGCTTCATGTACTTGAGGGTGGGAACTCGACCTGACCTGGCATACTTTCTGAGAGAAGTCAGCCAATTCCTAACCAACCCTGGTAAGGCTCACTGGAATGCTATTAAGAGAGGCCTTAGATACCTCAACGGTACTCGCAAACTGGGTATTACCCTCGGAGGAATCCAGAACGTGAAGCAGTACAACCTGCAACACTACCTTACGGCGTATTCCGACGCAGACTATGCCAACTGTCCAGACACTAGACGATCTGTTGGAGGCTACATCACATACATGTGTGGCAGCCCGATCTCCTGGCAATCTAGAAAGCATTACACAGTCGTGCTCTCCACTACGGAGGCAGAATACATAGCCCTGTGCCACTGCATGCAGGAACTCATATTCCTGAACTTGCTGTTCTTGGAGCTGAACCACAAAAGCCCAAATGCTATCACCGTATATGAGGACAACCAAAGTTGTATCAAACTCTCATACAACCCAGAACTACATGGTAGAAGCAAGCACATCCACATTCGCTACTGTTTTGTACAAGAGAAAGTAGACAGAAAAGAATTTGAAGTCAAATACTGCAACACCAAAGAAATGGTAGCCGATATCTTCACAAAGTCTCTATAAAAGCCCACATTTCTTAAACTAAGACAGTCACTATGTAACCTGAAGACGAAGAGGTAAAATACAATAAAAAAACCCGCACACTTGAACGATATCCAAACAAAAACTTTCAATACTAGGAATATTAAAGCAACAATCTCACATACTTAAAAGTAAATTTCAGCAACGGAATCAAATAACAGTTAACTTACAAAAAAATCAAAATAAAACAAATACACTTTAAATATTACTAACCGAACTTACAATAAATATAAGGTTTCCAAATTATAACCAATTTTAATACATAAGAGTAGTGAATCCAAGCATCCCACAATCCTTAAAAAATATACAACATCGCGCAGAACAATTAAATAATCTTAAATAAAACCAACGTTTTCAAATAAAATGGTTATACATCTTATTATAAATAACCTTAAGAATCATCTTTAATCTTAAAAACTTCCACTATAGAAATATATATATGTACAACAAAATGCGAATCTAAAAAGCACTACACAACAAAAGATTACAAAGACTGACTAAATCAAATAGTTAAAGAAGAAGATACCAAATTTCTTTAAAAAATTGAAATTTATTCTAAAGATGTAACTAAAGAATATATATATATATATATATATACACAAAAAGGAAACTTTCTGTTCCTAAACATTCTCAATGGAGTACACACCGTCGATCTTCTCAAAGAAACTAGTTAACAACTCCTCCCGGTTCGGAAAATAATGATACCGATCCGAGTCAATGAACAGGAACTTGTTGCGAACCCAGGCGCGAGCAATGCAGTGCCATGTGCCTGCACACTGACCTGGGCGCCGCCCAATAATGAGCAAGGCAGGCTTCCGGCTGCGGACGATAGCACCAGGTCGCTTGGGCCTGCTTGCGAAACCGGACTTGGAGTTCAGGTACACCAGCTGTTTGCGAAGCCGCTTCAGACCCTTCTGCAACGCGTCCATAGTGTACGCGCGAAAACGTGGGTGTCCGTGATCCTCCGCGGGCCTCACAGCAGTAAGCCGGGCCAGTACGGGGCGCAGCATCACAGGAGTGAGGAAATCTCTCACCTGGAGAGCATTGCTCACCGACAGTAAGCCGCACATCGAATAGCGGTCTGGCAGCATTTCCTGGTGCTGACAAAGCACAGATGTACGGAGACTACGAGGCATCTGTAACAATACAAATCACAAAAAGTTAGCATCTTCCAAAACATTACATAATGTCATAACAGTGAGCTGAGCATGAGATCGACATCTCCAAACTCCGAGTCCTTGAGAACTGTGAAGACGTTTCGCTTTTTAGGTCTAGCCCGACTGCGGCGTCAGACAAGCATCCACAGAATCTCTGACCGGAATCTGGATTTGCCTCTCCTAAATCCAATAAACTGTTAGGGCCGAATAAAACACAGAAAGTGTACCTTGACTGGAGCTTGAAAGTTTGCAAATGAGCTCTCAGTGCTGGATTTCTCAAAGCCATTACATTAGGCCTGCTCACTACATGCTTAAACCTATCAGAGAACTAACCTCAAATTCTGAGCGGAGGCAGAGCCTGGAAAATGCCCTACCGCTAAACGTTTTACCCCAAAATCTTATCTCCTCATCCTCGTTGCCTCAAATTCTGGTTTACCAGCTGGGATAATAAGATGCCACAATTTGGACACAGAGAGGCTGTCAAAGTTAGTATCTCAAATAGTGGCATGAATACCCAATCTAGCACAATATGGCTAAGATCACAAACTGTGTACTAGCACTGTAAGTTTGTGTACGGGTACATATACCCTGTAAGTTCTGTTTGATCATGTTTAAGAGGACACCAATGGTTGGCACCGGAGCGAGGCTCCGGTGCCACCCCTGGTATCCGACACTTTCTTTAAATTCAACACAACTTCTTTTTCATCTTCCTACTCAAGTCTTCTTCGTCTTCAACCTCAAGTCTCACCCCGCAACAGTCACCAATTCGGCCACCATCCTTCACTCGGTAATTCTCTCTACAGCCCCCACATCTCGTGCTCCTCCAGTAACTGCTACCCGTCCAAGCACACGCCATACGTCTGAGCTCCGTTCTCGTAGTGACTGCGGCCACATTCCTCGTCAGCTGCGACACTGCCACTGCTGCCACGCAGTCCAGCCAGACCCAGCTCTCGAGGGCTGGTGCTGCCCCTGTATCGAGCTCGCGATTCCTGCGAAGCGCCAGGACAGAGGAAGCGGACGATGAAAGCGAACAAGAAGAAGTAGAGCGAATGATGAGCCTGAAGAACATCAAAGTTCCCACCACCCGCTGCTGGCCCCAGAGAAACAAGTCGTGGCGGCTGCGAAAGCCTCTGAGAAGGCCACCACCAAACTGTCGAAGGCGGACGAAACCATCTTGACCAAGCTCAAGTCCATCGACAAAGATCTGGATAGGTTCAAGCAGTGGAAAGTGGAGGAGCTCACGCCTATCCAAGTGAAGTCGATTTTGACGCGGGCTAATGTCAAGAAGAACGGTCCGGAGTGGCAGACGTACTACCAGTACTTGGCGGCGTTCTTGAAACAGAACCACAAGGTTAACTAAGCACCTGGCCGGTTTTTCTTCAGACGCACTCTACTACGCACTCTACTAACTGTAAGCTTAGTACATGTAGTACGTGCCTACCGGTGTAAGGATGTTAATTTTTTGTTTTACCTATATTTTCGTACTGTTTGTGTACCCCGCAAACATGTTAGGGTGTCAAATTAATGGCTCCTCGAGAGGGCTGTTGTTGTCAAATCCATATTCCACATATATGTACACACCACAAAAAAGTAATCTAGTGCTACGTAGTTTGAAGAGATCATGGTTGGTGTAAAGATGAAGAACTTCGCGTACAAGTCAGCTTACGACAAGTAAAAAGAGCTCCAACTGTTTTTAGTTAAAGCCCTCAATGTATAGTTAAACAATGTCTAGCTCCACAAACATGTTAGCCAGATTCACTACGCACTTTGTAATTTGACATCTAATGATAAAGCAGCGAACATTCAAACGCGTTTGCAAACTGCACTTACAGTGAGTTAGTGTGCTGAGAAAATATCACAAACATTATTGCGGAGAACACAACTTTGTTCGAACTCTATTCGCTTTTAAGCTTAGAATATTCTCTTTTGACCGCGATGCCCATGGAAGCAGATTTAGTATTAGAGTATTTGGTGATTTAACTAACTTACGTTCAAATTTACTGAGAGCTCCAAATTGCCGCCTTCGCTCGCTCGCGGCACCCAGAACTTCAGAGAGCCACCTCCCGTACCGGGTAGACCCAACAACCACGGTCAAAGTAGAGCGACTTCCCACCCAACGCGGTCACTTTCGAGGGTAACCTCCAGTTGGGGTCATATACGGTACAGATCTGAGATTGGATCTGATGTGCTAAAAGGTGTTCTGGGGGTTGCACCCCCAGACCCCCGCAAAAAGAAAACTAACTCCGAGTTGCGGCAACGGGTCCGTTCGCTGGAATGCTCGTCGCTGAGCCCGCCTCCGCAAATACCGCGCGGCCCTGCTTCGCGGGCACCCCGCGCGGGTTTGCTATGGCTACGCTCCTCGCAACCGCTCACTGTCGAAACGTATGTTTTTCAATACAAAAATTAGTATTAAAAACCGATCCATTCTCTGATCTGTACCCTATATGATCCCAACCGGGTTTTACCCTTTCGAGGTCCAAGTGGCGGTGCCTCCTGCTGGGACTCTCTTCTCGTCGATCTTGTGGCCCGCGGAGAAAATATTCACAACGACAGCTTCCGTGTCCGTACTGTTGAAGTTAACAGTGACAACGCCGTCGCCCTGTCGAGTCCACGACGAAGTGCTGCCCTTGAACGCCTTCCCGACCGCATTGAGACCGAGCGTGTACGGGTCCGAGCCGTCGTCAATCTCTCCGATGAACTGCGTGGGGCCGCAGATGGGCTGGATGTACTCAGTCACAATACCTAGGATGCGCGTAGGGTCAATGATGGAGAGCACGAACGTCGTCATGGCGACCTTGTCCGTCACGACGCGTAGATACTCTTTGGCCGTCAAGGATGTACCATTATCGCTTTTGCCCTTCTCGATGAGGTCGTCCACGATCACCCCCAGCGTCTTGCGCAGCGTGTCACGCGTCTGATAGGCGGTGGCCTCGCTCGACTCGGCGATCATCTGCTCCATGCAGTTGTTGGTCACGATGGGGATGTCGCGCGTCACGAGGTCGGACTCGTACATGGCGATGCGCAGCTCCGCTTGAGAGATGCCAGGGTTCTGCTGCTTCATTCGGGCCACAGTCACCCACGTGCGGTCGGTGATGCACTTGAGCTCGAAGCCGCACGTCGAGTCGGAGGCCATTCCAGACTTGAGGGACGAAATGTCCGTCTCGTTCAGCTCCGCCAACGGTTGAGTGAAGTTGATGCGATGCAGGAAGGCCTGGAATCGGTCCCAGCCGCGGATGATGTTGTCTCCGTGGTCGAGGATCTCTCCAAGAAGGAGCTGGACAGTGTCCAGCATCCAACTCGCAGGGTTGAGCACGTCCGGGTATGGGAGACCCAAGCACATGGCGATGGTGACGGGGAAGTCGATCGTGGCGTAACTCGTCGAGTACAAGACGCCCATGATCTTGTCGAAGGGCGTCTGCGGATCGTAGACCTTGACCATGCTGAGGTACTTGATGAACATCTTGACGTTGCCGATCATGGATTGGATGCACAGCGCGCCGTTGACGACCGTCTTGGTCAGAGCTGTGAGCTCGCCGTAGAGGCCCATAGTGGCAATAGAGATCGCAGTCTGCACCACGTTGACCGTCTTGGAGTAATACTCAAAGCCGCAGTCGTCGTTCTGGCGAATGCACTCCATGCCGCACTGCACCGGATACGAGAGCGGGCACTGGGCCCAGCACGTCTTCCGCACGTCTTCCGCTTGCAGTTGAAGCCTACAGGACACGTCTTCATGATGTGCGCCTTCCGGTAGCAGGCCGAGTCACCGCGGTCTGGTGCGCCGATAATGGGGCCCACCCAGTTGCGGTAGGTCGATTGAACCTCCGCAACCGAATGCCTAGCTTGGACATCCAGGTCGCTCGAGTCGGAATCGTCCGAGTCGTCTTCTAATGAGGACGCTGCAGACGCCGTAGAGCCGATCCTTGAATGCATTGAGGGGCTGAGCCCAACGGACGTCGAGGCTTCTGCGCAACCCTGGAAGCTTATGACGGTGAGCAAGGGCAGCAACGCCAGTAGGCTGGACCACTTCGCCATCGTTACTCAGCCGTAAGAAGTCCGGGCGATTGTCGAGAACTCAGCAAGTTTGAGAATGACGCTCTGCGTGCTAAGTACAGTCTCACTGTTGGTCGACTGAGAGACTCAGAGCCTGCCATTCAACGTGCACGTCGTTCTCACAAGAGTTCTCTCGTAGACCAAGCAGCGCAGCATAGCAAGAACACTGGCCCCAGTATCCCACATCTCGTGGTCGCATCGGCAGCATGGGCGGCCATATATGTTGCTCAACGTTCCCTCGCGCTGTACAGTGCTGCGTGCGGGACTTGGCTGCGACCTTGTCCGACAAGGCCCTCGACAAGTTGTCGAGGGCCGAGAACGGAATGAGATGGGCTCATCACGATGTTATGCACGCATCCCCGTAGGTCGCCGATTAAATAGGACTAAAGAGCCCGACTACCCGAACAGCGCGAAAGCTATGCCAGCTCGACCAGTCTTTGAGCCGACAACCCCCAACCTCTGTGCGGTACTTGAGATAGGACCCCGGAATTGCCGCCGTCTCAACCAATGAAGCGGTGCTTACACACGGGGACGTCTCAAAACAAGTCGAATGCTTGGACACTGTTTGGACGCCGACGGCGACTTGGCGTGTGCATTCACTGAGACCCCGACCAGGTCAAGCCGGTTCCAAGGTCCGCGCGCATCCAACAAGGCCCGACGTCTACAGACCTGCACATCACGGTCTCGATGAAGTCTCCACCGCCGGAGAGGCCTGATATACCGGCTCATCCATTTCGCTGACAGAGCTTGACTTGGAGTTATGTGAGTTGTCGTGATACCCTCGCAACTCATAATGGCGCTGACATAGATTTCATACTCAAGTCTTGGTATCTTCCAGCAATCGGAACTCTTCCTGGTGCACCCAGCGCTTCAACGTGAACGTGTCCACCACTAGCGTCGTTGAAGAGCAGTCGTGCGCAACATGGTCCTCTAAATCTCTCCTTAATCCAAACCGACGGCCGCAACTACGGCACCGAAACACGCCGCAGTTCACCCCAGCGACACGCTCTCGGTCGATCTCCCGGTGTAGAATCTCCCGCTTGGCGCTCTCCATAGCACGACGCACCATGAGCTTCTTGACGAACTTCCGCTCCAACTGTTGCTTGCGTCCAAGCAGCCAGAAGAGCAGGCCGTGGCTTTGGAGCAGCAGTCCGTCGAGCCCTCGAGACAGGAAGTTGGTGGAGGCCGACGTGGACAATGCCGTCTTGTTGTGCTCTTTGGCCCACCAGTCCTCAAACTCATTGCACGTAATGCCACCGTTGCCGTCGCAGTCCAACTCGGCGAACAGGTTGCGCACTTGAGCTGTAGTGAGCTTCGGTGGCTGTGGGGCGGACTTATGGCCGCTGACGCTGCCCCGCTTCGGCTTCTTGCCACGCAGATACGACAACATTAATTGGAACTCGTCCAGATCTAGCGTACCAGAGCCGTCCAGGTCGAAGATCTGGAAGCATTGACGCAGTCGCAGTATTGCTGGATCGACGACGTCCAGTTCTGAGGCATTCGAGTTTCTTCGTGTGTTTGATGCGCTTTGCGCTGCTCTGCTCTGGGCCGCAACGCGCCACCGGGCGAGCTCCTTCTTCAGCATGTCCTTGCCCAGAGGCGTCGCGAAGATGGCAGTGTACTCGAGATGCACGTTGTGGTCGCTGGACCCGAGCGACGCCAGCTCCTGCTTCATTCCTTCCACGTTAAGACTGCGTTTACCCCTGAACCAAGCCATCATCCAGAGCTGGTGGACGAATAGACACACGCGTGTTTTGGCAGCCCACCGCCGCAGGTGCGCTGCCCGGCGCGCAGCCTGCTCTCGCCGCACCATTCGCGCTAGATATAACGCTGTAATCGCACGAGCGATTAGGACGCGCACGGACGCCAACACCAGCGCGCGCCGCACCCATAGCGCGACGTTCTTGCAGACGAATGGACGTAATATTTCCTCACGCCACCGTTGGAAACGACGATAGCGTCGCTGTATCCGAATGGCGGCGCGGCGGCGTCGACGAAAGCCTTGTACGAGCTGAGGAACGCCTCGACGACGAAGCACGCGGATGGCAATGGCGAGAACTCTTGCCCGAGACTTGAGAGCGTCTCTAAACCAGGCCTTCAACCGGCACCGACGGATACAGTCGGCAAATGCGTGCGCTTCCACTGAGTACGGGAACTTTGGGGTCACTGGAGTTGACACTTCGGCTGATGGTGCAGTTTGAGCAGCAATGAACTGGACCGTGCTGAGTGGGTGTCGGAGCTGCTCACTTCTGCTGCAGAAGGTGGAGGCGCTGAGGGGTCTGGCAAGTCGAGAGCGGATCTCATTTTCCCAAATGTTGCCCTTGATCTTCTCTTCCAAGTGGGCCTGGAGCTTCGCCCGTATCTGTTGAAATTTGTAGATTCAGCAGTAAATGTTAGGATAACTTACAAGCAATAATCCCACCACACTGTGTGAACATACCTCGTCGGATAGCAACGGCTCGATTCTGAGGCTCGTACTCTTCCTCCTCTTTCTGGGCTTAGTGACTCGAGCTCTCCACTGCTCGATCGGGCTCGATGCAGACGGATGTTTTGCCACAAACTTATTAAATGTTGCCTCCACATTGTTTTTTGCTTGATCCTCGATCAACCTCACGAGTCGCTCGTCTGTTCGTGCCACTGCCGGGCTCAAAACAAGCTGGAACCCATCTTCAACTGTGTGCACTAAGCTCTCAGTCGATGTACTGGCCAGAAATGCCGACGAAGACACGTTGAGCTCGCACGCTTCGTGCATCCACTTCTTCCATTGCTGTGGGGACAAGCTGTCGCGCGGCGCATTCACCCCTTTAGGTCTGCGCAAAGAACTGAGCCCCGACGTTCCAGGTTGGCGCTTCCTCGTCGGGGAGGGATTGGTCGTGAGTACGCGCGCTTTCCCAGGCGAGACTGCGTAGACATTTTGCAATTGAACCAGCTTGTCGGGCGAGGGCATTCGACCTGTGATAGTCTTGAGCTAAGCACGAGCTTTTGGATGCGATTAGCTGCAAGTTGAAGTCTAATGATAGTCTCGGCGAAAACAAATCTTAAAAATAACACGGAATATGTTAACGAGCTGCAAGTCACAGATGGACGAGCCCAGATACCTCAGCGCTCGCTACTTCTACGTGATGCAGAGCTTCGAGACCTTCTACCACCTCTACTAATACAGAAAAGATCAATTTTCCCACTTTTTCAGAAAATATGATGATGAGCAAAATATGTAATAGTATACTTATGCAGCTAAAGAGAAGTCAAATAACTACTGCATACCTAATGGATCGAATAGTTAACCACCAAATTGGTTTACGAAGCATTCGCTCAGGTTTCCGAAGCTATTTGATGCTCAATTGTAAGAAATTGGACCCAATAATTGCAGTATTAGTCAAAATTACGAAAAATATGTCTACCCCGCAGAACGTCGCTAATGAAGGTACAGTAACATCGTAGAAGCTTCACGAAGGCTTTGTAGTGCAGTCCTTGAGTTGTATAACACTGGGGGCTGGAGTGGCAGTGACAGAGGCTGATGATAGGTACACTTGTGTCAATTTGTTTGTGATTTCCTATCTACATATTTTTTTACGTTAAACAAACTTGATCTCAAATTGTCGCTGAACCGGCAGGATCGTGGTGTGCGGAAACTAATACGGTAAAAATACCATCAGGTACGAGATTTCGCTAGAGAAGTGAGAGGTTTCCGTCTAAAAAGTGCTGGCAAGTTTACATGTTTTGATGTATTCAGCGTTTGCTGCTTTTGATGTATCCAGCGTTTGCTGGTGGTGTGGTCGACTTGTGTTATTCGATACTGTCCGAGCAAGCGAGAGAGGGCTGCAAAAATAACAAATACCTGCCTTATGCAGTGAATAAGACCTTTAGGCTTGCATGCTAGTATTTTTTTCTTACGGACCCTCTGCTCCTGTATATGCAAAACACAAGTCGCTTTAATCGAAAATGCGCTTGCTTATAATGTCTTTATTGCCTTCGTAGACAAAATAGTGGATACGTGCGTTGAGCGGATTGCTTGCAGATACTAGTACACAAGAATGAATCACGTAACTAAGCACGACAAATAAGATAAAATTGATGCAAGTAACTGGCACAACTTGCTATAATCAAACAGCAAGTTCCAGAACACAACAGCAACATATACAGCAACGTTATCAGGCTATTAACTCAGGTGGATAGCTCCAACAAAGCACTCCAATCGACGTTTTTACTATGAGAAGCCTCAAATTTCTCCCATATTCAGTGATCGCCAAGATATGGGAAATACGGGAAAATTTCTGAAATTCCCGTATTGGTGGAGGTCTGCCTATCGGTGTTACCTTAACGCACAACACTCGCAGGAATTCGACATCAACAAGACTCCGAAGTCACCGTAGTCTCTACAGTAGTGCTCTTTTCGTTGCTTTGCTGTGGAAATCGCCGCCATCATCTGCACCACTTTTGAGGGCTCCAGAAGTGATGAATGAGCTCACCTTGTAGAATCCACAGGATTGGAAAAAAAGTAACTATCACTTCCATGTAAGGAGACCCCATATAGCACTACTGTGTTTCCCAGCAGGTAGGTCCAGGGGCGGTGCGCGTGTTGAGTCGTTTATACCTGGAGTACATGTAGCATCTCGATTTGTGTACTTAGTGTTGAAGTTGACACGCTCGCGTTGAGCCGTTTACGCATTCACCAGCCTGGAATTGCATCCATTTTTTTAATTCAAGTTGACTAAAATTGAAGTTGACTCTCTCGAGTTGAGCCGTTTACACGCTCACCATCCTGGAATTGCATCCTTGGATTAAAGTTGACGCGTGCTCCGACTGCGGACTCAAAGCGATTTGGGTTATTGGTTTCCGCCTTGGGCAACGAACACATTTGCATCATAGACGTGTACCACGAAGCGAATACGATCATATATGTACTCTAATTTGCCGGAGTGATAGTTATTGTACGAACTTCTGCAAAGGAGGTTTTATAAAGCTGCGCCAGAGTTTCCATGTTAAATTTAATATTCAGCAATAACTTGAGATGAGATTCATTAGGAATGATCCTAACTTACAAAGCTTAATGTACTAACTGCAATGGTCTCCTTGCTGGACTGCTACACTCGCAGCTCAGATATTAACTTTAGTCAAACCTATTCTCAACGACTGTAATTTTTCGCGTGGTGCCGGGAACATGTACAGTTGCCGGCATCATCCTGGATACGCCCTCGTCGTCTCGGAGGATTTAGCTAAAACTGTAGCCTACAAGCTTGCAGCCTGTAGGGCATGGCCCTAGCATGGAGCCCAACCGACCACCTTAGTCGTCCTCAACACGCACCGTGCAATATGCGCCGCAAGCCCCAAGCCAACGCCCAAGCGTCCAAGATCGACCATGCGTCTGAATCCCATTCTCCTTACTGCCGCTGCCGCTCTCCTTGCGAGCTGCAACACTGCCGCCGCTGCCACTGAGTTGAAGCAGACGCAGCTACCGAAGGTGACTGCCGCGGACGCGGTGCAGTCGGTCGACTCTATTTCCGGGAAGTTGACGCGATTCCTGAGAGGCGTCAAGACGGTCGAAGAAGAGAAGGACGAGAGTGAGGAGGACTCGGAAGAGGAGAGAAGCATCCAGTTGAAAACAGTCGATGACATTCTCGCGGACATGGAGGCGGCTGAGTCCAACATGTTTGTTCATCTTAGCAGCTACGACCGAGACATCTTGACGAGAATTGAGAACACGTCAATTGTCTCCTCTAGACGTCGCGAGCATTCTGAACGGGTACCCGAGCCTCTCCAGGACTGGCGCTGAATGGACGGCGTGGAAGCTGTACGCCGCTCAGTATCTGCGGCTTCATGGTTCGGTCTCCTAAGGACGGAATTCTTAGCTTGTCACCAAAGCTCGACAGGTTTGCCGCGTCCACGCGGTGGTAACTTACCACTGGTAAGATTAGGAATTAATTACCCTACTAAAAATGCGAAACTTTGCACCCTAACAGTGACATTTCTCTGTGTAAGGATCAACTTTAACTTGGCTGTTGTGAAATGGCCACTAAAAGATTAGAGACTTGGGATTAGTACCGATCAAAATGGGTCCGCGCTCCCTGCGGAGGTTACGGCGGCCGAGTCTGCGGCCCGTGCTGCTGCTTGTCGTCGTCATCTTCGTGCTCATCCCGCTGGCCGTCTACCACGTGGCCACCTTCGACTTCCAGCGCGTGGCGTCCCTCGAGCGGCGCTCCCACCTCCGCCCGCCGTCATCGGAGCCCGTGCCCGCGTGTCTCTCCGTGGCCAGCGCCGACTTCCTGCGGCCCGACGCACTGCGCCAGCTGCAGGCGCGCTGCGGCCTCCGAGCCGCCGTAGAGCCGCCTAAAAGTAGGAGTCAATTACGTCTCGTACACTTCGTCCACGTGGCGCAGGACTGGGACGCAGCCGAGGAGGACCCAGCAAAGAGGGAGCAGTTCACGTACCTGCAGTTCGCGGCGCTGCAGTCCGTCAGGCGCGCGCTGCGGCCCGACGTGATGATGATGCACTACCCGGACGCGCCGCCGCGCGGCGTCTGGTACACGCAGTGCCAGCGCCATCTCGGGCTGCACCAGGTGCTGCCCCCCGTGGCGTTTGACGCCTCGCTGCCCCGACACAAGCGCCGCCGCATCACGGAGCTGCTGCTGATGCTGCGCGCGCTCCAGAAGCACGGCGGCGTGGCGCTCTCGGACTTCAACACGTTCCTGCTGAGAGGCATCCACGTGGACATGCAGGCGCCGCTCGTGGTGGCCAGTCAGGCGAGTAGCAGCAGCGGCAGGCTCAGCCTGGGGCTACACGTGATGCAGGCTCCGCCGGGCCACCCGTTCTTGGCGTTTCTAGAGGAAGCGATCGTTAAGCTGGTGGAGAAGAACGACCCAAAGCTGCACGAGATGAGGGTGGATGACGTGGTGGGGCGCGTCGTGCTGGAGAGATTCCGTCGAGAGCAGGGCGATGGGAGTGGGGGCAATTCGACCAGCGTCGTGGACGGAGTGGCCATCGGAACGCCCGACTTGTTCGAGTTTGGCGGGCTGCACGAGCTGCTCACAGCGAAGTTGGGGCCGTCGCTCGCTGGGAAGTTCCGAGGCGTGGCGGGGTTTCACGTAGATAGGGACGGGATCGCAGAGCAGACTGCGCATGTCGAGGACCTTCGAGAGATTGAGCGGATGCAGAAGGAGCTGGCGTTGGCGGGCGAGTGGCAGAGTCTAGACACGCTGCTCGGAGCAGTGGTGCGGCTCGCAGTGACAGCGAACACCACGGCGGAGCTGGAGCCGCTGTTCACGTAGCACGCATGAGCCGGGCAATGTATTCAGTTTTTGATGACTTCGAATCCTTGGTGCAGTTTGCTGCGCTTGGCGTGGTCTGACTGCAAGTTGTAGACGAGAGTGGGCCGAGCATTCACTTGAGCCCGCCAGCTGGGATCCGTGAAAGCTCCGCCCGACTCATTCACGCTCCTGCGAACGAACGGCATCTCCGGGGCAGCTTTTGAGGTGGTCGCTCAGCTAGCGAAATGCAGATTAAATCGACTACCGACGCGAAATTGTCGGTGTGAAGACTTAGGCGACTTTTACAGCCTTCCGCCGATTCTCCACCAGCCCGGGCTGCATCGACTGTGGATCTCTAGTGGCGCCTGCTGGATGCAGCGCACGTTGGTGGCGTCAACGCGCATGTGACGGCGCGATATGTGAGGAGCGGGTTGTTATCGACAGTAGAGGCGCCCGTGGCAGCGTGATTACGTGTCCGTGGTGGTCGTCGAGGCGCCTGCAGATGGCAATGCCGATGCGCTCCGGCATATGAGATGGAGCTCCCGGCAGATCGCGAGCGTTGAGGCATTCCGCTGTCTGCAGGTCACGAGGTGGAGATCACGCAGGGTGCTCTGGGCTAACAGCCCGACGTGTGAGCCGGCCTGGATGGGCAAGGAATCGGCATGGCACTGTGGCTGCAGGTAAACGTTGAGGGATCAAAGGCCTCCGATTTCCGTAGCTGACCTCGGTTCATTCCCGAATTTCCTTCGTGTGCATCAAGCGACAGCCGTCCTCACCCGCAGCTCCTCCCTCCGCCATGAAGTTCGCTACGCCTGTCCTCGCCGCCGCCGCCCTGGTGCTCGCCGCCGTCACCGGTAGCCCCATGATCCGCCAGGAGGCGGAAGGAGCCGAGTCCAGCAGCTGCACGCTCACGGGCACCTACACGAGCGGCACGGATGTAGTACGGTCACCATCAAGTCGCGACGGTCCCCGCTGGAGTCACGCTGGACCTGACCGACCTCAAGTCGGGCGCCAACGTTGTGTTCTCGGGCACCACCACCTTCGGCACGAAGAAGTGGTCGGGACCTCTCGTCCTCCTCACGGGTACCAAGCTGACTGTCAGCGGTACGGGATCTCTGGACGGCCAGGGAGCTTGGTACTGGAAGCAGGACACGTCTATCACTCGCCCCGTCTTCTTCCGCATGAGCAAGGTCATCTCGTCCACGGTCAAGGGCTTCACCATCAAGAACTCGCCCTACCGCACCTTCAGCATTCTGAGCTCGCAGTCCACGACCATCAGCGGTCTGACGCTCGACTCGAGCGCTGGCGACGGCACGGCCAAGAACACGGACGGCTTTGACCTCAGCAAGAACACGGGCGTGACCATCACCGGCTGCAAGATCTACAACCAGGACGACTGTCTCGCTATGCAGTCGAGTACCAACACGGTCTTCTCCAGCAACACCTGCAGCGGCGGTCACGGCATCTCCATCGGCTCCATTGGCGGCTCTTCGATTAGTTCGTCGGACACGGTGTCGGGTCTGACGGTCAAGAACAACAAGATCGTGGACAGCGTCAACGGTATCCGCATCAAGACCATCATCGATCTGACGGGCAAGGTGACGGACGTCACTTACACGGACAACACGCTGTCGAACGTCGAGAACGCCATTGTGATCCACGGCGACTACAGCAAGTCCAAGGGCGGCTACACCGGCACGGCCAGCAACAAGGTTTACGTCACGGACATCACGATCGATGGCCTCACGGGTTCGGCGGACCAGATCTACGACATCCTCGTGAACTCCAAGTACGTGTCTGGCTGGACCTTCTCGGGTATTGATGTCTCGGGCTCGACGGGAAGCTGCAGCGGCGAACCGAGTAGCGTGGACTGCTAAGCAAGGACGGAAGTGGATTCTTCAAGCAGTTTTGTTTACGGTCAAAGTACCCGTTTCGGAAGATTTTTAAACAGGTCTTATGCAGGTCTGGTCTTTTTTGGTCCGTAGGACCAAAACAAGACCGAAATAAAATTAGCCTCCAAATGGGACCTAAAAAAGACACTACACAAAACCGGGTTTTGGAAAAACGCTATAATCAAATATGCAAACGGAAAATAGATGTATTATGTATTAAAGGGGATATTGCATGAAAAACCATACTGGACAAAACCTCTGCTGTCAACGGTTAACTGTAAGTTATGCTAACCCGGCTTGTACTCTAGCTGCCCGGGTCGTCCGACTTGATGAACACCCCTGCCCCCGCGTGTTAATGATTCAGCCAAACGATAGAGTTCACACTCGGCGGATCCGTCAGCACCAACAGTCTCTCCACGGTACCAACACCGTCTTACAGGCGACTCACATGAGGCCGCAACGCAGTCACCATGGGCACCCCAACACAAGCGAAGCGTCCAAATGGTGCCAAATTTTGGCCAGCAAGCTTCACAGGATACCATCCACTCTCACCAGGCCGAACGTCAGCCACCAGCAGCCAAAGCATACGAGAAGAAGTCGACGTCGATCTTCGGCCCCACAGCTACCACTATATGCATATAGGCCAGACCAATTGTGGTTTTCCTTCATTTGCGGCATCAAAGGGGGCAATCGAGAAGTAAATTTTGAGTAGGGGCAGAGGCTTGAAGTGCTCTGCGAAGCAGGGCTGTGAGAGACTGGCCCCATGGAATGTGGTGGGCGAGTTGCGAGCTAGCGCCCAGCTGTATGTCGATCGCTCGATCACTAACGCTGGTCGCTGTGTCTGTGTGCTACCGCTACTCTTCCTAAAACGAACTCTCGCTACTGCTGTCTGCTGTTGTACTCTGCCTCTACAGGAAACCCCAGTAGCCTTCCACCTATGTTTCTCTTCACTGCACTTTGTTGTGTTCCGCTTGCTTCGTCCGAATACTCGCCACACCAGCATGAAGTCAGACCCAGCTCTAACAGCGCCTTCAAACAGCACATCAGCATCTTATCAATAGCACGGTCACCAAAAGCTAGGTGGAAGTGCGCCTTCACAAGATTCGCGTCAGTGTCGAGACTGTCTTTTATTTGGGGACTGAGCTCATCATTACCACGGATATCAACGGCCAACTTGACCATACAACAGTCGACATATTGCAGCTAAACAAACCACTACTCAGACCGGTCCGTTTGCAGCCATCAGCCTCGCAGTGAACAGCACCAAACAACCAGTCAAGCAAACTCGAATTCTAGTGCCAACACGGAAAAGCAACCACGACAAAGCAAGGGGATTATCGAACATTACCTTAGCATGAGCCGTCTATCAAGGGGGCTAGTCTTCACAGCCCTGATTTGCCGTGCAGTTCAAGCCTCGGCTCATATCCAAACTGAACTCCTCGATTGCCCCCTACGATGTCGTATTGAAGGAAATGGCAAGTATTCGGGCGAAGCAAGCAGAATGCAACGGATTGCCGTGAAGGGATTAAGGATACTCTAATTTCCTGCAGAGGCAGAATACAATCAAGTACTTCAAGTACCAAGTACCAAGGATCAGTGGTACATGCAGACAAGAATACATGCACGAAGATAGCAGTAGATTCAGGCACGAGGACGCCTGAGTTCGTGGAAGCTCATTTAGGAAGTCTAGCAACATCGCATAGTCCGAGCAGCGTCGACGATCCAGCGATCGACATCAGCAAGACGCTCGTTCGCACATTTCAGACATTTGTGTTGTAATCTCCAGCATTACTTCAATAGCAAATGCCCTCTATCATCTATCACGATATTTTGTATCAGAGTGAAGGGGGTCTAAAAATGGCTGGTTTCGTAGTGATATCATTTGGGTCTCGCCATCCAAACGGGACCGGTAGCGAAATCATAACGATTTTCTGTTCGGTCTCGTTTAGATGTCGTAGGACCAAAACAGGACCAGACCTGTTTAAAACCTTACCCCCGTGCCGTGCTCAGTAGGCTAGAGGAGACGTCAATTGGGCGGTCGATGTTCGTCTTTTAAAAAAACACTGTGCAGAATAAAGTTCTCGTTTACAACAGTATCAGATACAACAACGTGTGCGTTCTCCGTAGTGTGTGGACTCCATGCTGATAGGACTCCTGCAGGTGAATGGAAGAATACACGCAAAAGCATTTTCTAGAAGCGTAAGCATGCTGAGCCGGTACTCTCCTGCAGCAAAGTGGTCGGCCTAGTACATGTAGTGCTGGACGATCGCCATCAAGATTTTCGATCGCGCAGCGGAGACGAACTCACGAGGAGTTTGGGCAGGGCGGTACTACTGGTATTACGGTACTATTCTGTAGCAAGCTACCGCCTGCTGGCGAGCAAGAGGTTTGCCACCCAATCTGATAGGAATCGAGTGCCCCGAGCTCACATGTCAGCGTTGAAGTGCAATCGAGGGGCCTCGGTGTTTACCGTCCGGGGCGGGCTGCTCCTTCGCTATCTCGATCGTCGCGTTGTGGTCATCAAGATGTTCTGACAAATTCGTCGTCAGATCGTCATCTTGGCGCGTCTAGCGAAAGCACCCTTTCCAGCATTGAGTGGCTCGATTAGCGAGATGCTGCGGTGAGGATGGCTTCTGGCCTCCACCAAGTCTCGTGTGGAGGCTCTCTGGTGCAAGCTCTATCAGCAAATCGATACCGATTACCAAGCACAAAGCGATGAGCACCAGACCTCAAGAGAACTCATTGCATTCCTCCCTGCATATCTCATGGAAGTGACCCCAACTTCGTGGCTGGAAGACTGCGTACTGCATGTACTAACCCCGCCACCCCGGCCGCTATGATGGCGAGTGCACTCCTTCGCTGCGTTGACCACGTCCAGATGGATCGGCCGACGCGTACGTAGGGGGCCCCCGCTCCAAGCAGATCGCCGTCCGCGGTGGTTGACGAGCTTCAAGGCTCTTGGCGTTTACATATCATTTGTCCGCTTGTCCGTTCGGACACCGTTAGCTCCGTCCCCGCTTGAGAACAGCCACCACGTCTTCAACGTACTTCCTGTCGCTCTGTCATGGCACCACCTTGGAGCAACCCGACTCCGAAGCTCATTCCGGAATTCACTCGAGTCTGCTCAAGCTCCATCCACTCCAACCTCTTCAAGCCATGAAGTTCTTCTTCCCCCTCCTCGCCAGCGCTGCGCTCGTGATTACCATGGTCTGCGGCTCGCCCATGATGCGTCAAGAGGAGTAGGCCAGTAGCTGCACGCTCACGGGCACCTACAGGAGCGGCACCGATGTGTCGTCGTGCAGTACCGTCACCATCAAGTCGTTGACCGTCCCCGCTGGTGTCACGCTGGACTTGAGCGACCTCAAGTCGGGCGCTAGCGTCGTCTTCTCCGGCACCACCACGTTTGGTGAAAAGGTGCGTCCATTTTGACAGTTAAATGGGTGGGTTGTAGTTGTGCACCCCACGCTAACGATATCGTGCTGTATCTTCTCCACAGATATGGTCGGGACCCCTTGTGCTTCTCACTGGTACGGACCTCACGGTGAGCGGAACGGGAACTCTAGACGGCCAGGGCGCCTGGTACTGGAAGCAGGGCACGTCTATCACTCGCCCCGTCTTCTTCCGCATGAGCAAGGTCATCTCGTCCACGGTCAAGGGCTTCAAGATCAAGAACTCGCCCTACCGCACCTTTAGCATTATCAACTCGCAGCCCACGACTGTGAGCGGCCTCACGCTCGACTCGAGTGCGGGTGACGACACTGCTAAGAACACGGACGGCTTCGACCTGAGCAAGAACACGGACGTCACGATCTCAGGCAACACCATCTACAACCAGGACGACTGCCTCGCCATGCAGTCCAGCACCAACACGGTCTTCTCCAGCAACACCTGCAGTGGCGGACACGGCATCTCTATCGGCTCCATCGGTGGGTCCTCCGTCAGCTCTTCGGACACGGTCTCGGGTCTGACGGTCAAGAACAACAAGATCATCAACAGCGTCAACGGTATCCGCATCAAGACCATCATCGACGACTACGGAACGGTGGAGGACGTGACGTACACGAGCAACACGCTGTCGAACGTCGAGAACGCCATCGTGATCCACGGCGACTACAGCAAGTCCAAGGGCGGGTACACCGGCACGGCCAGCAGCAAGGTGACGATCAAGGATATTACATCAACGGTCTGACTGGCTCGGCGGATCAGGTGTACGACATCCTGGTGAACTCCAAGTATGCTTCGGGCTGGACGTTTTCGGGTATCGACGTGTCGGGCTCCACGGGAAGCTGCAGCGGCGAGCCCAGCGGCGTCTCGTGCTAAGCCGTCACAAACTGTCTCGGCTGGTTCAAGTTGTCGTGCGCTACAGAGCGGAAGAATACTGGATGTTTGCGTAGATAGATATTTTTTACAGAAATGCATTGCTGTTATCTTTTCGTTTTTATGCAACTTGCGTGTGATTCTAGCAACTCGCGAGCGTTCATCTTTGAATTTGTTGCGGTTTAGTTGGCTACCTACTCACGGAGACGCGCACTGCTGCATCCCCGCCTACGGTGATCGTATCGCGAGCGTTTATTCATTTAGTCGATTCTTCAGGGCACCCGAAAAAATAAAAAAACGACTTGAACTCTTCTTTTGCGATGCAGTGTAGAATGGAAAGTGAGATTGAATCAAAAGCTTTACCTACGAGACCTTAGCAGCTCGCTCTAGTTCCTACAATCTAGAACCCTGACAAACTTGATCAGCGCTTCGCGAAGCTTCGACGACCATCACTCTCTGCAACCCGCAAGTTGCCCTTGTGTACAGCACATAATTATACCCCTTAAGTGTGTGTGAGTGTCGGGTATGAAAATCTGTGACGTGGTGCTGCAGCTCAACACTCCCCCTCAACTTGCATTCCAGGATCGCCGCTGCTGACAACGCCACTTGCCTTCACCAGTATCATGAACTGCGGAGTCGGGAGTGGCTTGGTAAGGTTGTCTGCCAGTTGTTGAGCAGAGCGCACATGCTGGACCTTGATCGTTCCTTTTTCGACTTGATCACGAACGAAGTGCACGCGGAGGTCGATGTGCTTGGCGCGTGGGGTGTACCCGCTGTTGCTCGCCATGCTGATCGCTGCCTTGTTATCGATGAAGACTTTAGTAGCACACGTATCTCCCACCAGCTTCTCTCCGAGCAGCTGCCGCACCCACATCACTTCCTGCACCGTCACCGCAAGCGCCATGTACTCGGCTTCGGCCGAAGATAGCGCGACGGTCGCCTGTTTCTTCGCCTTGAACACGACTGGTCCACCACACGGCTGCAGAAGCACGCCTGATGTCGATCGGCGAGTAGATAGATCGCTTCCCCAGTTTGCATCGCTGAAGGCGAGCAAACGCAGCTGAGTTCCGCGCCAATACTTAACACCAGTAGCGAGTGTACCCTTGAGGTACCGTAGCACGCGCACAGCCGCCTTCCAATGCATTTCACGTGGATCCTCGAGGTGTTGTGATAGAATGCTGACTGCAACACAAATGTCGGGCCAGGTTGCATTAGCAACGTAGAGAAGTGAGCCAACAAGTTCGCGAAATGGCTTTTTCTCGTTCATCCTTGCGTGTTCGTCACTTGCACGCAGATTTTGCCCGACGACGCTCGGGTTTCGGACAGGGTGAGCCTCTGCTTGGCCAAATCGCTCAATGATTCGCGAAATGTATTGCGCCTGACAAACGAAAAGCTCTCCACGCTGCGTGATGTAGCGAAGCTCAATTCCGAGAATAAAGCGAGCATCTCCAAGTGACTTGAGACTAAAACGCGCACCCAATGCCTCTGCAATACTCGACGCCTCTTCTTCGGCCGCACATCCGATAAGCAGATCATCGACATACAGGACGATGAAAACGGGTCCATTGTGACGAACTCGAACGAACAGGCAGGGATCCGACTTGCACTGCTTGAATCCCAGGGCGATGAACACACTTCGAATGGTCTTGTGCCACACAGCAGCGGCTTGCTTTAAGCCATAGAGACTGCGACGAAGGCGACACACATGCCTTCACAAACATTGAGACACTCAGGCGGCACCATGTACAATTCCTCTTCGAGGTCGCCGTTTAGAAAGGCCGTTTCAACATCGTACTGGTTCACCATGTATCCGAGCTGGCAGCACACCGCAAGAAAAATCCGCACCGTGTTGAGACTGGCAACAGGAGAGTAGGTAGATGTGTAGTCAACACCATACGTCTGGAAGCAACCGAGAGCAACTAAACGCGCCTTGTACCGGATAATGTTTCCGTGTTCATCGCGTTTAAGGGCAAAGACCCACTTGTGCCCGATCACTCGAACACCGGGCGGACGGTAAACTAAATCCCAAGTGTGGTTGCGCACATGAGCTCGGATTTCAGCGCGACACGCCTCCTTCCACTTGTCCGAGTCGGCAGAACGCATCGCTTCACGGAACGAGTTGGGAATACGTTCCGAGGCAGCAAGAGCAATCTCGTACTCGTCGTCAATTCTCGGGCGCTTGCTGTCCGGCTCACCAATGCTTCCGTCCGAAGTGTAGCCATCTCCCGTCGCATCTTGTCCACTTGTCGGATCGGTTTCGCCATTCTCCAGCAGCAGTCGTTCGGCTTCCCCAGTCTCTCTATTGCCTTCACTCGGTGGTAGCGCTGGCAATGACGGGGTTCTTGCTTCTTGAGCACTTGTCAGCAGACGCGGTTGGTGGGGCGCCGAAATACGAACTTGACGAGGTCTAGTTGGGCCAAACACGAGGCGATCGCTCAGCGAGGTTTCACCAGTGCGCATGGACGATGGAATCAGAGCTGATTGACGTAGAGAGGACTGGCTGGTGAGTTGTCGAGCAGCTGTAACGTTCGAGCTCGGCTCTGAAACTGGGATTTCAAGTGCTTCTCCCCCTCTGCGAGACATCTCACCTTCGCCACGGCGAACCAGTGCGTCTGGTACTGCATCGACTTCCATGTCGACGGGATCACCATCGACCTCGGTCATTTCAACGTCTCCGCTGTTGTCCGTCGCAGGCAAAACCGGTTGTTGTGGCTGCTGCGAGGTACTCACATCCTCGTCGAACTGCAACGGAGCCTGCCTCGTCACGTGAACCACAGTGCGATAGTTGTCAGCAGGACGCTCATTCAAGGTGATGGTCCTGGTAGTCACGATGCGCTCATCTTTAGCATCCCAAACGCGATAGGCCTTCGAGCCAGGAGCGTACTCGAGAAAGATGCATGCGTGAGCTCGGGCATCCCACTTGCTCCGACGTGACTTGTCAACGTGAACGTACCCTCTCGGTCCGAAGACTCGCAGGTAGCTCAGGTCAGGCTTGTGTCCGGCGAAAACTTCATGGGGAGTAGTTTGAGGGCGAGCAGTGTTCGGTACGCGGTTCGTCAAATACACAGCCGTACTCAGAGCTTCACCCCACCACTCACGAGCCATTCCGCGGTGGTACAACATTGAGCGTGCCATCTCAACCAGCGTGCGGTTCATACGCTCAGCGAGACCGTTTTGCTGCGGAGTGTGAAGCGTGGAGGTCTGGTGCACGATCCCATGAGCCGCGAAAAAGTCCCCAAACTTCTTGTTCACAGACTCTCCTCCGTTATCACTGCGCAAGCAGCGAATACGACGACCGGTCTGCGCTTCCACGAGCGCCTTGTACTCCACCAACCGAGCAAATACCTCCGACTTCGCCTTGATCAGATACATGTGCACGTAGCGAGAATAATCATCGACAAACGTCACTACGAAACGCGCTCCCCCTTTCGACTGAGGCTTCATTGGACCCATGACGTCGGAGTGTACGAGGTCCAGCAATCCTGCGGTCTTCACACTACTGCCGGACTGTCTTGCGAACGGGCTCACAGTCATCTTGCCACACGAACAGCCAGCACAGGGTACGTCAACTGGGACATCATCATCTTGACCAAAGCTCGGAACGCCCTCCGCAGCGCGCGACACCAACATCATCTTCTTCTTCGACACATGCCCCAGCCGCTCGTGCCACAAGCTGCCAGGCGACAGCTCCGCCGATGCTGCAACGTCCTTGCCGCGCTCCTCATCCGTCGTCGCCACCACGTTCCAGACAAATAATTTTCCCCCTTCTCCACACGCGCAACCAATCTCCCTTCAAAACTGATAGTGCACCCATTACCAGAGAACTCCACAGAAGCACCCTTGGCCACCAACGACGGAATCGACAGCAGTCTCCGGTCGAGGTCCGGAACATACAGTACTTCAGTCACCTTGATCAACCGGCCGCCGCCAATCAGGAAGCGCACAGTTCCCACTCCCATCGCGCGTAGGCGTTGTCCGCTGGCTACTACAATATCCGTCGGGCTCTGCAGCTATCGGAACTCCACGAAATCTTGCCGGCTGTGCGTCATGTGCGTGCTGGCCCCACTATCCAGCAGCCATGCCATCGATGCCTCCCTCGTCGCGGCGAACACAAACTCATCTCCGTCGTCCTTCTTACTGAGTGTTGGGCACTCTGCACGCTTGTGGCCGAACTGGTTACATTCAAAGCATCGCCCATCAAACCTCGACGCTCCACGACCTCCACGTGGTTGGCGCTGCTGGCCACCACCACGACGGCTTCCATGCCGCCCGCCTCCATGTCCATGCTGGCTTGCCTGGGTCCCGCGTGACCCTGCATTGTTCCGTCGTCTTGTGCTTCCATTTCCACCACGCGCAGACACGTTAAACGCTTCCTCTTGCTTCTCGCGTTTCTTGAGCGTCTCCGACTCGCGGCGCAGCATCTCCTTCGCATCCATCAGAGTCACGGATGAGTGAGCCTCAATAATCTTCACCATGGCGTCATACTAGCTCGACAAACTCCCCAGAAGAATCACGAGCTTCTCGTCGTCGCTCAGCTGGTCACCAACAGCCGAAAGTCGCAGACAGAGATCATCGAACTTCAGTAGGTGGCCCATCAAATCAGCCCCAGATGCCATTTGGAACTCGTGCAGTTGCTTCCGAAGCTGGACGCGGTTGTGAAGATTCTGCCTGACGAAGAACTCGCGCAGCGTTTCCCACGCATCCTTGGCAGACTTGGATTCTCGGATCATCGGCTGGTACACTGGACTCAGTAACTTCGAGATGACAGCCAGCGCCTTGAAATCGGCGGCTTTCCACGTCTCGGTCTCCCACTTACCTGCATCTTCTGGCTTCATCTCCACGTGGTCCAGCAGGTCCTTCCTCGCGAGTGCCATGCGGCAGTTGAATTCCCACAGGAAATAGTTGTCCTCGCGCAGCACGTCGTTAGGACCCAGCGTATTTGGGCTCATAACCAAAAACGACTTGAACTCTTCTTTTGCGATGCAGTGTAGAATGGAAAGTGA